TTCTGTTGAATTGAATCAGATTTCTACCACCACAGCACTTGCCCAAAAGAATTTCAGCAGCAGACAGCCAAGTGGGCTGGCACCAGCTTCTCCTCCACTGTTGGCTTCAACACGTCAGAAGGAAGCTTTTCAGAGGGAAAAAAATAAGGACTCACATCAGACATGACGCAATACATGAGTCGGAGAGCCCCAACACCTATCTCAATGTCACAGTGCGACAGCAGCAGGTCTTTTATTCCAGGATCTGAAAGTGAGCCGCTCTCAGCTGCCTGCAGAACGGGGTTGCCCTGCCCATGGCATCAGTCTTTCACAGCAGTCCCAGGCAGCATTTTCTGTTGGCTCGCAGCCCGTGGCTGCAGTTCCCCACGTGTTTCCCCGCTGTCTCTCCCCCATTCTCACTGTGCATCTTGTCTCCGAGAGACCCTCACTGACCACAGCACAATTGCTGGGCCCCCTGTTCATTGCAGCCTGAAGTCATGCAGGAAGCCACATCAGAAAGGAAGGCATGCAAAAAACATTGGCTCCTTTTTTGTTGTTGTTTTGAAAATGTTTGTTGATTGACTTGGAAGGTGTAGGGATAGGAATTCCACCCAGCCTGGAAGTCCATTCAGGTTTCCCACAGGGGTGCCAGGAACCTGAGTGATTGGGCAAAATTCTGAACTGCCAACTCCTGTCCACTGCAGTTTGGTCTCGTGGTCCCTAGGGCCACCTCGCATGCGATATAGAGCAGGTGGCCTGGAGCACTCGGAGCCTGCACTGAGGGGAACTTGCTGGTCACAGATGAGCTCTCTGACGCCCAGGTCAGCCTGACCTCTGGAAGTCACGTGAGTTTACTGACTCCGTGTCCAAGCAGGGCAGAAGCATCTCTGCCGGGAGGATAAACTGGGGGCTGGGTCTCCCCTAGAAATTCCATGGGGCGTGTCCCGGTTTCCATTCCTGTGTCAAGTTCTGCCTGATACAGGTGGATCCTCTGCGTGCCGTCAGTCACCCCTTTCATTTCCCACTTTCAGGTCATTTTTTTCTCCTTATTAGTCTTTTTTTTTTTTTTGCTCCCTGCTTTTCAAAGGAAACACCTGTTGTAACCACATTAGTGAGTCGAGGCTGGAGGTTAACTATGCCATGACTGGTAGATGTGTTTGTGTGTTTGGGGTTCTTCTTTGGAAGTGCCTCAGTAGAACTTACAATTTAGAAAATTTGAATCAAAATCTATAGCTCTGAGTTCTTCGGATGATCCGGCAGTGACTGGGCAGCACTAAGCAGCTGGAGCGCTGGACGGCGTGGGCCCTCACTCCCAGCACACCCTGCCCTGCAGGTGCGCTCGCAGACATGTTGGCCATGGGCAGGCTCCGTTGCGCTTCCTCACGGCAGCCAGAGAGAGGGATGTGCGGGGCATGGGAGCTGTCTCCTCCAGAATGTAAGGATAGGTCAAGGTGAGGGGACCTTTCACAATAAACGTGGCTACCACTGCCTACGTTGGCCCATCACAGGAGCCATGCCAAATCCTGCTCACAGAAAACCCATGCTGACCCATTTCACATGGGAAGACTGAGGCTCGGAAAGAAATATCTCGCCGCATCACATACGGAGAGATTCTGGAATGTTCAAAGTGAGGACTTTGGCTGCTAGGCTACTGATCTGGGCCCGCTATTGGTTTTTCTTACCATGCATACCAGTGGGCCCCACCTTTCTTGTTTTGTCTTGTTTTGTTTTGTTTATGAGATCGATGACACTCACATTATTAGCAAGTGTAGCTGGGTCAGCTCCTGGATTGAAAGGGTCACCCGGGCACTAAGCAGTGGGTCTTCATCAAGGCTTTCATCTCCACTCCTGGAGATGTTATCACCTCCATAAGGGCAGGATTTGGCTTCATGCTTTTACAGATAGCAGCTGTTCAATACATTTGCTGATTTTATTAGTGTTGGAAGCTTGCCTCAGATTCTACTAGGTTTGTGTGTGATGTAGGGAGGGGGTGCTAAAAGAGGAAACTACAACTCCCAATTTACCCTGCGGTTGGGGCACTAAAATGGCTTAAGAGTTAAAAAAAAATGTGCTACCAAGTGGTTTTGCAAAATGGGAAGAAGTTGCTTAAAAATAAAGGCTTAAAATTAATTCAGAACCTATCAGTCTGCATTAGCATGCTGCCAGGCTTACGGTGCAGTGGGTCTCACAGCCTCTAATGGATAAAAATTACATACGTTATTAGCCGCTGTTTACCATGTATTTTCCAACAGTAATTGGTGCTTCATAAACTTCTAACAGCATTTTGCTTCATGAGTTTGAGCTCAAATGTGATGATTTATGCCAGAAACTGAAGCTACTCCTGTTTAACATAGAATATGAGAGGAAATTAGATTATAGAATAGCAGATATAGATGGTAATGGAATTATAATTCCATTTCTAGATGGGAAATTTCATATTTATTTTATTCAGTCTGTAAAAAAATGCCTCATGCCAACAAAGTTTAATATCTGTGATCAAGTGAATGTTGAAGTATCATTGTTGTTTGGAAGTTGAGATAAAGGGTGAAAGGTTTACCATGGAAGGCAATTCCTCGGTGGAGTGGAATGGTTCGTCCAATTTTTCAATGGCTTGAGGCTTTTCTCTGGCATGCCGTGGTCATTTCCAGGCTAGCCTTTTACGTGCGAGACACCCTAAGCTAACAGCGAGGCCTACTGACGGGCAGAGCCAGGGTCTTTTATAGTCAGGACTGTTCCTGTGCCAACGTAACTGGGGCAGGCCTGGTGACTAAGATGCCACGAGCCACATCAGAGGACCGAGGTTCAGTACCCAACTCTGGGTCCTGACCACAGCTTCCTGCTAATGGGGGAGGGAGTGGTGATGGCTCCCCTAATTGGGTTTTTGTCTTTCACCTCTACCACCCCCACTCTCCAGTGCCTGGCTCCCAAGTCTGACTGCTCCTAGCTGGGTCACTTTGAGCATGTGGGGAGTGAGTTGGTACATGGAAGCTCTCTGCTTCTCTCTCTCTCTCTCTCTCTGCCCCTCAAACAAACAAAAACATACAACAACCAAGTGGCATTTGCTATGTTTAAGTCTCAGCTAAGAAATCTTTTATTTTTAATATTCATTTATTCATCATTGGAAAGGTGGATTTACATTGAGAGGGAGAGATTTTCCATCCTTGCTTCACTCCCCAGATGCCTACAATGGCCAAAGCTGAGCCGATCCAAAGCCAGGAGCCAGGAGCCTCTTCCCGGTCTCCCATGCAGGTGCAGGGTCCCAAGGCTTTGGGCGGTTCTGCACTGCTTTTCCAGGACACAAGCAGGGAGCTGGATGGAAAGTGAAACAGCCAGGATGTGAGTGGGCGCCCACAGGATGAGCCAATTGAGCCATTACAAACCCCTTCCCTCCCCAACTTCCCCATCTAAGAAATCTCAAGCATCACCCTTCTACAGCTGGAACCAGGTCACCCAGTAGGTGAAGGGCAGAGGGAGGTGCCAAACCCAGATCCCCCCGGGGAACTCGATGTTGGAGCCCTCCGGTCTTCATAGCAAGGGTCCGCCTTTATGTCCAGCTTAATACTAAGTGCTGTTGTAACAGAGTGTCCTTTGCTTGTTGTCATGGATGCGTCCCCTAAACTTTTAAAAGATGTTATTGTTGTGTTAGCTCTGTCCACAGACGCAATGGTGTATCATAACAAGGCTATCATACCAACAAGACGGAGGCTTTCATGAACTCTAAGGCTTACATGACCAATCTCCTTAATAATAAAGTGCGGAGAAAAAAAAAAAAAACCCAGCGGGCATGAATTCCCACACTTTGAAAGAAACAAGGTATGCCAACCAAACCCATCGCACTGTGGATTTGCTTAGCTCCTGATTTCCTTAAAACTATTGGGGACAAAGAATTAATCACGCCAAGAAATCTGAGCACTCGTTGTGTAAGTAATGATATGAAGGAATTGAATTTCGGGTGTAGTAATGGGGTTGTGGTTAACATTGTCAGGTGCACTTTTTTTTTAAATAGATTTTTATTTTGGATTCTGAATTATGTGGTACATTTTCGTATAGGCTGGGATTCCCACTCAAACTCCCACCCCATTTTACAATAGTGTTTTCCCCCATTTTACAATAGTGTAGCCCTTCATAAGGAATCGTAATTCTATTAGTGTCAGGTGCACTTTAAAGTCTCTTTCGGAGGTGCGTATCCAAAGAGATGGAGTCGGTTGAAGGGTGTCCTTCCACACGAGGCAGCCAACGGGAAGGAGCGGTTGTGAGCGGGACAGCAGCGATCGCCGAGCGTCGCCGTGTTCTCACAGAGGAACGCGCTGCTTGCCCACGCGCCCCCATGTCAGGGGAGCCCCAAGAGGCTGCGGAGGAGGACTGCCCAGCCTCCACATCCGCACAAAAGCCGAAGCGATGAAGAAAAGCCCAAGAGGGGGCCGGGCCAGCAGGTTTGCGCTGCCGTGGAGGCCGCGGGAGCGCGCGGGCTGGGCTCCATCCCGGTGTGGTGTGTTTGTTTTGAGGGGGATTTCGGAGGTCCAGGAAATTCTCGGGGCGCTGACGTCACCGCCCCGGGTCAAGGCGGCTCGGCGTCCACCTGAGACTACGCCACGCTCAGCGGCCGGAAGCGTGGACGGCAGCGGTGCGCCTGCGCGGTGCGGCCCCAGCGGCTCGTCCGCTTTTCCCGCTTCGGCTAGCAGGGGGCGCTGTGCGTTCCTGAACCCGTCAGGGGCGGGAGGCCTCGCGGGCGGAAGGGCGTTCTTGCCTCGCCGGCGCTGGTCTCTATGGTCCCTGGTCCTCCAGCCCCCGCGGGGCGCTGGGCCTGCGGGCCTGGTTGCTAGGCGGAAGCGGAGCGCCGCTGAGGCCGCGGCGGCTGCTGCCCGGGCGTTTGAAAAGTAGCGGAGCAGGCGGCAAAAGGTCCTCGAGTGGCGGGCCGGCAGCGGGCCGAGCCTGCGGCGCGGTTTTTGCCTTTTGGAAGCCGGGCAGGGTTCGGTCCTGGGCTCGCTCAGGCAGCGGCAGCGGCGGGGTCCGGCCTCGTAGCGGGGTCCGGGCGTCGGGGGCCGCGGGCAGGCGGGCGGGCGGTGGGCACCGTGCCTGGGCCGCCGGACCACCCGCCTCTCACGCAGACGTCTGCTCCCGCCTGCAGACCCCGCGTCCGGGCCGCCGAGCGTGACCATGGTCTCCAAGTCCGACCAGCTGCTCATCGTCGTGTCCATTTTAGAAGGTGAGAGACACCTGTCCAAGGGGCTGCCATCTGTGCTTTCGCGGTCCCCGGAGCCGTGGCCATTGATGGCAGGCGTTCTCGAGGCAGAGCTGTTAGGGATGATGGTTTTTGGGGGTCACTGGCTGTAGCCCCCGGAGTGTGTGGAAGGGGGCGATTTCGCTCGGAAGCTGCGGCGGGTCGACGGCTTTCAGGTGCCCGGGAGCGCCTTCTGGCCGGCGCTCCCCGGGTTGACCCGGGTCCCGTGAGACCCCTGCCAGGGGTGGGTCCCTGGAAGTTTGGTTTGCTGAGCGGAGTGGGCTTTCTGGAGACCCCCTCCCCCCGGTTCTGACAGCTGATGGGGTGTAGCAGGAGTAACGGACTCAGCAGTGAGCTAGATAAGCGGCTTCCAGCGGGGGGCGTTTCTTTAGCGGCCGCAGGTGCTGAGGAGTTGGTCAGGTGTTGCAAATGGGCATTGCAGGCCCGGGCCAGAGCGGAGCACCCTGGAGCCGTGGGAGCAGCGAGGCAGCGCCGGCCGAATGTCGGGAGACCACGGTGGCCCCTCCAGACTGCTGCTTTGGTGGTCCCCACAAGGCAGAATGAACGAGTTAAACGTGCGCTTGCCTGGTTTCAGGTATGGTCAGATGTACTCGGCATATCGTGCAGAGCAGCCCCCCAAGGTGGGAAAGCAGGCCGACCTGCTTTTTAACTCAGTAAAGAGTACTTTGCAAGTTAAAAACGAGCGCATGTGTCCATTCTGTTGAATGCCCTGTTTAAGATAGGCGGTGGGGCTGGTGTGTACCTCACTTTTCATTGCCTGGCTCCCAGCCTTCAGCGGTTAGTGAGGACGGGTTCAGAATCTGGTTTTATCTCCCCTGCCGGGTTTGCAAGGCATGGGTTTGCTTTCCACAAATCGGGGTCCGACTTGAGGTACAGAATAGCAAGCACTGAGAATCTTGCTCTGAGCTAAGGAGGGGGTGCAGGCGTGGGAAGGTGGTGGCCAGGTCCCTTGGGCCAGGCCATAGGGGATGCCCCTTTAGCCCAGCTCCTGGGCGGGCATGTTCTGGAGGCGTGAGAGGCAGGCTGAGAGGGAAGGAAGCGACCGTCTTAATGCTGGAGTGCTCTACTTGGAGACCAGCAGCTGCCCTGAGTTGGGCCACCATGGATTGCTAAAATACTGCTGGCTTAAAGTGTGTGGGGGGAGCTTTTCTTCCGCCAAGGGGTATTGCTAAGAGCATTGTGGGGTTGGCAGGGCCTGACCAGGTGGTTCCCCCATGCTTCCATGGGTCGGGATGGAAGGGATTTGAGGCGGTGAGTGCAGGGGAGTCGAGTTTGCGTGCAGCGATGTGTGGTTTGTCATGAGAAGGATGGGCCGGCCGGCGCTGTGTGTAAGGTGTTGTTTGGGCTGCTCACTTTCCAGACTCGCACCTTTTTGAAATCTGAACCAGCCTCCTGGGGGTTGACGCGCTTGGACGCAGTAGAGGGATGTCAACTCGAATATTTGGATCCCTGCGACCCACATGGAAGGAAAAAACCCTAGGTTATTCCAGGCTCCTGGCTTCAGCCTGGCCCAGCATCAGCAGCTGGGGGCACTGCGGACTCGACCAGCAGCTGGAGGGGCTCTCTGTTTCTCTGTCCCTGGCTCTGCTGTTCAAATAGAATGAAAAATAAAATACAGATACGTGATGCAGCTTGTAGCAGGCTTGGTGGGGTGGGGCTAGCTGAAGAGGCTTGGGCAGCGAGTAAGCTTTTTGTAGGAAGTGATGGAAGAAAGTCAAGCCAGGTGACTGGACAGGCCAGACTTGCTCAGAGGACCTGGAAGGGGTCAGCAAGATTAGCAGGAGCATCGAGGTCCGAGGACACCTGGGCCGCTGGGAACGAACGAGGCCAGCTGGCAGCACAGGCTCCCAGCGGTAGCTTGCTTGAGCTTGCTTTCTCATAGCGTCGTGCAGGAAACCCTGGAGGCACGGCGTCGGTTGAGTTGTTGCTACAAACACCTAAGCCAGTGTGGTGGGCGCGCCAGAGGGCTCTGCTGTGTTTGTGCTTCCGTTCATGGCAACGTGCTGTGACGCTAGCCAGGAGCTGGGGGTTGCTTGTTGTCTCGCCTTCCTTCTGGGACCCCAGATGTTGTTGCTGTGAGACACACACACTTTCAAAGGGAGGAGTTTGCATTGTCAGTGCCTTGGTGGGGGGCCTTCGTGAGCCAGCTGCTCACTCTAGTTCCTGATTGCTTGATGGTTTCTGCCTTTGCAGAAACATCTCCTACCCCTAGTAGTGACTCAAGACAATTTTTCAGAAATGAAAAATCTTTCAGGAAAGTGTCTGTGCATCTTGAGCGTGGGCGGACGTGGCTCTCGGTGGGAGGCATCTTGTCTACCTTTCTAGTCTTTTCCTAGACATTCCCCACTGTTCAGCTGTAGCCAGTGTTTGCAGTTGCTTTACAGTGCTTCTAGAACTGCCCAGGAGTCGAAAGACCCTCACCGAGTTTGTACCTTGTGCAAGACTGGGGCTGTGTCCCAGGTCCCAAGGGCGAAGACACAAGGTTTGTGTTCATGGTGTATCGAATGGCGTCGGGGTGATGCAGGCACAGCGGGTCTGGCAACACAGCCTCAGTTTTGAAGCTTGGTGGTGGTAGGTTATCTGATATGGGAGTCTGGCGGAAACTCCAAATTCTTCGCCAAGTGTCAAGTTTGTTGGGGATGTTTGTGACTGATCTGAGAGCAGCAGAAGTGAGGTTTTCAGGACTTCTGGGGGGGCTCGTGGGGAGAGCATTGCCGTGGGTGCTAGGGCTGTGGGGGAGTTCAGGTGGAGCCGGGCGTGGCGCTCTTGAGTGCGCTGGTCTGGTGGGTTCTAAGCTCCCCATGGAAGCCGCAAGGCAGGATTCTTAGCGCCCTGCTGCTGCTGCTGGTGCTTAGCTGTTTTCAGGGGTTTTTTGTTTGTGTTTTCCCATTAGACCCACAGTTCCTTGAAGGTAAAAATCTTTCTTTCTTTCTTTTTTTTTTTTAAACAATATATTTTGATCGGAAAGGCAAATTTGTGGAAAGAGGAGAGCTAAAGGTCCTCCACCCGCTGGTTCACATAGCAATGGCTAAAGCTGAAGTGACCATGCGCTAGGAGCCGGGAACTTGTTGGGGGTCATACAAGTACAAGGTCACCATCCTAGCCTGGTGTCCCAGGCCTAAGCAGGGAGCTGGAAGGGAGGTGGAGTGGCCGGAACCCAAATTGGTATCGGTAAGGGAGAATGAGCCGGTTGAGCCATCCCACTGACCCGTCGTCTCAGGTGAGGCCGATTCTGAATATGCCTGCACTGAAACATGAAGACGTGGGGCTAGCTGGTACAAATGAGAAGTGACATGTGCATGGATTATTTGGAAAATTGATCCTAATATGACATTGTCCTTGGATATAGTGAATTGGCTTATGTGTGCTGCCTTTTCTTTAGCTCATTTGGAAAAAAACCCTGAGTGAGTGATCAGGAAAATTCGGACGCAGGCAGTTTTGTCTTTCTGCTGTGCTTTCTGAGACCTTGAGGCAGCTGTTCCCTAAGTACAGCCCATAGTACTGTTGAAAGTTAGGGCCACCCCACGTGTCGCTCTGACGTTGTAAATGGTAGTGAGATCAATCATGCTCAAGACTGTGAACCCGGGACAGTGCCAGTGAACCACCGGAGAGCTGGGCAGAACCCGAGGGACCACCTGCGGCCATCCGGAGCGTTCTCCCTGTGAGCAGGATCCCAAGGGGCTCAGGGCACCTGGATGTTTGAGAAGGACGAGTCAGTAGCTTTCAATCCCACATTTCTGGGACTTTTAAGTCTGGGAGTGCGTAAGGAGGTATTTTCAGAAATGTGTGCCAAGTCACCGCACTGAGCCCGGATCTCTGCGAGGCGCATGCTTAGTGACCTGGGAGTGGTTCTCGGGCACTTCGGCTCACCTGCACAGCCTTGTCTCTCCAGGTCGCCACTTTCCCAAACGTCCAAAGCACATGCTTGTGGTGGAAGCCAAGTTCGATGGAGAGCAGCTGGAAACTGATCCTGTGGACCACAGCAACCAGCCAGAGTTTGCTACCGAGTTGGCCTGGGAGATTGATAGGAAAGTGCTCCACCAGCACAGGTGACCGTCGCGTAAATGAGCGTCTTCATTGGTCTCCTCAGGCCGTTAGAAAAAGTAACTCTGTCTTGCTAGTTTATACTAACAACTATACTTGTTTTTTAATATGCCAGGGAATTTTTCTCTAGTACTGCACCTTGAAATTTCATTTTGAATATCAATATTTATTATTATTTACTCTCCTTCAACATCAGTGCTATGCCCCGTGCTACTGATGAGGACACCGCGGCCTGAGGTTAAGTGCCTTGCCTGTGTCTGTGAGCTGTGTGGCAGAGCGGTCTGTCCAGCTCTGTGGCTCAGTTGGAGCTGCTGCACGATGCCATTGGCGTTTCTGTTCTGCTAATACGCGCACCGGAACATAGCCTAGCGGGGCCTCGATTTTGCCCACCTCGTGTTGAGCATGGGCTGGGATTCATTGCAGTGTCTGGCAAGTCATTCATGATGCAGCTGCCCGACTTGGAGGTCATGTAAAGAGGTTTCCAGTGAAAATTAAAGCAATATAAGGATTTCGTGAAACAGGAGCGTTAAAAAACAGCAGAAAATCACAACAAAATATAAAACACTGTGCATGGATTTTAGACTTTTTTTTTTTTTGCCTCAATAGGCTTGCTTTTTAGTCCCATTTTCCATGGGCTTTTTGAAGACCCCGTGTGAAGGATTCTTTCCTAATTTAGCATTTGATTTTGGCAGATACTTTATTAGTATGTGCAATACGCTTAAAGCTGCAGCGTTGTAATCTTGTTATGACTCAGTGACCAGAAGCTGGCAAGAATAGCAATAGTTTTTATTAAAGGATTGCAAATATATTTCCTTTTAGGAAGCCGTCATAGCACTGATAAATCAAAGGGGGAAGTTGTTGCTTTATCAGCTGGTGGGTTCTTTTTTTTAAGGGGGTAACGCATTCCTAGAGAAGATCAAAACGGTGCTTTTCCTTAGGTAGTGTCCGTGTATGGGCTTAGCTGGGTCCTGTGGTGACGGATAGGGCCTGTGTCTGCTGTGTCAGGACCAGGTGATGCCACTGCCAGTGCTGTAGGCCCAGGGTAATTGGATCCGTGGAGCCTGTGAGCAAGTCTGAAGTGCTCTCATCGAAAGCGAGCTCAGCTCTGCCCAGTTGAGGGCTCCAAGTACAAAGCATACTGATGCTGTGCTAGTTAATGTACTTTGCATTACTTGGGTTGCAATGAATTATTGACTAATATTTTAAACAAATGAAAGGCATAAAATGCTAGTTCCTGTAGCAGGTGTGAATAGTTAAATGCTCATGTCTATTACAAAAGTTAAACAGTGAGGCGTCCGCTTTGTGGCACCTGGCTAGGTGTGTCTGGCGGCGGCATCCTATTACAGGCTCAGCTGCTCTTTCTCTAACACCTTGATTAGGCACCTGGGCAGCCAGCAGAGGGGGCCCAAATGCCTGGGCGCCCAGGTGCAGGTCCAGGGTTCTGGGGTCAGCCTCGCCTCGCTCTGGGCAGTGAAGCAGAGTGGAGGTTCAGGCTCCTCCTGACTCTCGTGAAAATACACAAGTCTGTAGAAGACATTGGGAACTTTAGATGGGGCAAACTAAGATTTGGAAAGTTTGAATTAACTGCATTAACTTGGCAGTTGGATAAGTAAATACTAGCAATATTTCTTAGGCTAAAGATACTCTATATTTCCTGTCTGTGAAAATTTCATTATTTTGATAAACAGGCTTTTTTTTTTTTCAAGACTGATACGAAGTCAACTCAGTATAAGCAGACCCACTTTGTTTACTGTAATTGTGATGTTACAGGTTACAGCGTACACCTATCAAGCTTCAGTGTTTCGCCTTGGACCCTTCATCTTCCGCCAAAGAAACCATAGGTTACATTGTTTTGGACTTAAGGACTGCTCAGGAAACTAAGCAGGTACGGACCATTGATGGCTTGTGAATGGTCATGTTACCGGATCTTTATTTTCAGTAATGACCTCATCGACGATGGTTCAGACTCACCTGCACTCAGTGTCTTCGTTTACAGTTCTCAAACTTTTCATCATTGCTTTGATCACAAATTCTTTCTCCAAGAAGCTTGTCCCCAAACTCAAAAGCCTGAAAATGGCTTGCCTTCCCTACGCTGACCCAAAGGCCATGATTGGCCCGTATGTTTCCCTTAAAGCAGTTGCTTCCTGCAGCAGGCGTGTCTGGGTGGTGAGGCGGTGGTCAGCGTGTGCCAAGGATGCGGCGCCCCCAGGGAGGGTGTCAGGAAAGGGGCTGCCTCTGCGAGGCCGGGCACTCCTGTCTCAGGGCACAGGGCAGGAGCCTGGGTCAGCGTGTGCCAAGGATGCGGCGCCCCCAGGGAGGGCGTCAGGAAAGAGGCTGCCTCTGCGAGGCCGGGCACTCCTGTCTCAGGGCACAGGGCAGGAGCCTGGGTCTCGCGGAGTTCAGGGGAATGATCTCATGGAGTCCAAGTGCCCTCTCGCTTACCCTCTTCTGTGCACCGACGGAACTGGACCTGGCCTGGTGGAAGAGTTGCAGGTCGGGATAAAATGACTCTCGAGACAGTATCTCTGAAAAATCCAGACTTGTTTTTGTAAATTATACAACTGAACAAATCTGGCGACTACTAGAATGCTTTTTTTCTTGGCTTATATTTTAAAATTCTATAGTACTAATCACCAAAAAGTAGAACAATAAGCTGTATTCATTAAGCCCCAACTGGTGCTGTTTTCCTTATCGAACATACCTCAAACATGAAGCTGCGGTTTTTGGTTCTCATGTGACACTGGTCGGGGAGGAGGGCTCCTTCCAGGAAGCTCGGTGGCACTGTCTGAGCTGCCTGACGCAGGCACCGAGCCGGGATAGTGCGAGCCTCTCGGCTTCGCTAGGACAACTTGGGGTCACAGACTGTGTTCCTCCAGGAACGGGCCTTTGTGCCAGTGGCAGCCAGGTGCTGGCTCAGCAGCCAGAGCTGCACCTGGGGGCCTGCACTGGTGGTTTTCAGTTAACACTGAGATTGTCTTTTACTAATTCGATGAGAACAGAATAAAGCAGAAGTTGGCTGGAAGAAAATGTATGAGAGGCGGGAAATCACCGAGGAGAGAGACAGGAAGCTGCAGATTTGCTGCCTCGGGGTGAAGTGAGGTTGGGGCTGTGCGGGTTAAGATAGACACGTGTGTCCTCGCCGGTTTGCCTGTTGGAGTGTGGGCAGGCCAGCAGCAAAGTCCACACTTGCATGCAGTTTTTTCAGGGGAACATTGAGTTTGAGGTTTCCTAAGCAGGTTTCATTTCTATGAAAGAAATTGTGGGAGCTTATATAGAGAAAGCGGTGAAAAATGCCAGCATGTTTATCAGAACCTTCCCTGCATTGCCAGTCCTTGTTTTTTCATTCAATTAAGGAGTTTTGTTGTTACTCTCCAGGCACCAAAATGGTACCAGTTGCTGAGTAATAAATACACGAAATTCAAGTCGGAGATCCAGATCAGCATCGCTTTGGAGACGGACACCAAGGCGCCGGTCGCTAGCCTGAAAGCGAAGGGAGCCCCGCCCCGGGATGGCAAAGGTCAGCACAGTTTTCTGGAACATTCATGCTTGAACTAGAACTGTAAGAAAGCGTGGCAGTGTTTCTGAGGACCTGTGCTGGCTGGGACCTGACTACTGCAGTGCATCAGACATTGTGCTGTCACAGGCATGTAGCACTGGGCACTCCTAGTTCTGACTTGTACGTCTGCAAAAGCTTGCCTCCTCCGTTCGGTACATAATACAGCGCAGCAGGATTGAGCACTGCTTTTGAGAATTGCTACTTGGAAATATTTCTTTGTGGAATAAATGCAAAAAAGCTCAAGATGATACTTTAACTCGACTGTAATTTAGAAAGAAAAAAGAAAAACTAATTTCCCCCTTCCCTCAAAGCATTTTTAGCTTCCTAACAAAATTGAATGGAACCTGGGTCCAACACGATAGCGTAGCAGTTAAATTCCTTGCCTTGAACGCGCCGGGACCCCATATGGCCACTGGTTCTAATCCCGGCAGCTCCACTTCCCATCCAGCTCCCTGCTTGTGGACTGGGAAAGCAGTCGAGGACAGCCCAAAGTCTTGGGACCTACATCTGCATTTTAGACCCAAAGAAAGTTCTTGGCTCCTGGCTTCGGATTGGCGCAGCTTTGGCCGTTGCGGCTGCTTGGGGAGTGAACCATCAGATGGAAGATCTTCCTCTCTTTTGCTCTGTTTATCCGCCTTTCCAATAAAAATAATAAATCTTTAAAAAAAAATTGAATGGAACCTGCCAAGCATTCCTCTACCCCTTCTTCCCACAGCGTCCCTGCTGTGAGCACCTTGGCACCAGGGTCAGGGGGTGATTGATAAAGCCACACTGAGACATCAGGACCACCAAGTATATGTTGACATTAGCGGCCACTCCGGGCTCGATCCCTGTGTCATGGTGCGTGTTTCCTGCTGTGACAGAACCCGGAATATCTAACACCTTTGCTGCGTCCTGCTCCTGGATCTCTCGTTGCCCCTGGGCCCTGACCGGTGAAGCTGGCTCCTGTGATGGAGCGGCTGGTCAGCATCCTTTGTCCCTATAGGCTTCAGGGTCACATCGTCAGTACCTGTGAAGTAACTTGGCAGGATTTTGATTGGGAATGCTTGAATCTGTAGATTAGGTTGGGATCTCATATCTTATCAGAACTGTCCATTTGTGCAGTTCTTTGTCTCATCAGAATTTTGTAGCTTAATTACAATAGATCTTGTACATATTTTGTGAAATTTATATATCATTTTTAGGAATGTAGATACAAATGATAATGTGTTTTCGTTCCAAGATCTACTTACTTTGTGTTCGTTCTTGATCTTTCTAAGAATGTTTCAACTTTCTCATAATCAGGTATGCTGTTAGCCATGGGGTATTTGTAGACATTTATGATCAGCTGGAGAAAGTTGCCTGTAATCCTGTGTCCTGAGAATAGTCAGCGTGAGTGGCTGTTGGGTTGGGTTGGTGCTTTGATTACGTCGGTGGCTAGCTGATGCTGCATCAGCTTGCGTGCCTGGTACAAATGCCTGCTTGATCTGGGAGTATCCCATCATTCTTCTTACACTTTGCAGGATTCAGTGTGTTCCTTGCAGGTGTTTTATATGTCGGAGCATGTCCTTAAGGGACTTTCTTGGCCTATCTTATTGCTGTTGATGTTAACGTCATTGATTTTTGGTGCAAGGACTTGTTCATGTTTTCTGAGAGATTGCAATTTGAAGAAGCTGTTAAGTATGGTTGTTACAAGTTTGGTTGAACCTGCCAGTAAACCTGTCTGCGCCTGCATTCTGTTTTGAATATTTATTAGGTATTTAATTTTGTTAATAGATACAGACCTGTTTAGATGGTTTATTTTTTATGTATGAGTTTTTGCATAAGTTGTCTTTTGAGGAACGTGTTCATTTTATCAGGTTATCAAGTGTGGGCGAACAACTTGTTCTTGGCATTTCTTAATTACCCCTTAATATCCCTGGGCTCTGTAATGGCGCCCCGTCTTTTATTTCTGATAAAACTTTACTGTTTGTGTTTACCAATTTTTTTCCACTAGCTGTTTTGTTCACTTTTCTCTCTTGATTCTTATTTCCAGTTTCATTGATCTCTTTTCCTTACTTTGAACTTAACTGTCCTTGTTTTTTAGTTTTCGAAGGTGGCATTTGGGATGACTGATTTGTCGTCTTCTGTGCATCAGTGCTGTGCGCTTCCCTTGGGACGCTGTCTTCACTGTAGAACACAAAGCTGGCTGTTGTTATCTTCGTGTACTTGATGCTGATTTTTCATTTCTTGATTTCTTGTGCAATTTCTTGTTTGGCTTACAAATTATTAATTGGTTTATTTTGTTGTTGTTGTTTTTACTTACACTGGAGAAGCATATATACAGAGAAAAGGAGAAACAGATCTTCCATCTGCTGATTCACTCCCAAGTGGCCCCAGAGCTGCGCCCATCCAGAGCCAGGAGCCTCCTCTGGATATTCCGCGTGTGCGCAGGGTCCCCAGGCTCTGGGCCGTCCTCTTCTGCCTTCCCAGGAGACAGGCAGGGAGCTGGATGGGAAGTGGAGCGGGCGGGATGTGAACCTGTGCCTACATAGGATACTGGCACATGCAAAGCGAGGGGCCGTATTTCTTAATATTCAAGTATTTGGAGATTTTTCTAGCTGTTGGTTTTTGGCTTCATTTCATTGGGATCTGAGAGCAAACACTGTGCGATTACTAAGCTGTTCAATTTGTCTAGGTGTGTTTTATTGCCCAGAATAAGGTCTGTCTTGGTAAATATCCATGTGAACGTGAGAGGAAAGTTTCTGCTGTTCTCGGACGAAGGAGCCTGTAGATTTCCCTAACATGCAGTTGATTGATAGCATTGTTGAGTCCAACTAAGTTTGTACTGATTTTCTGCCTCCTAAATCTGCCCATTTCTGAGAAAGGTGTGTGCAAGTTTTCAGCTAGAACAATGGACCAGGCTGTTTGCCTTTGTGGTTTTATTGGATTTTGCCTCATTTTGGTACTTTATGTTATTAGATCGTCTTGGTGAAATGCTCTGAGATTTCCTAACAACTCCACTTTCTTTGATTAATGGTTGACATGGGGTGTGTGTAATCTGTGTTTGTTTTTACAGTCACTGTGGGTTCTTGCAGACAACTGGCAGTGTGTGTGTGTGTGTGTGTGTGTGTGTGTGTGTGTGTGTGTGTGTGTGTGTGTGTGTGTGTGTGTGTGACCTGACGGTCTTTGTCAGCGGCTCCTGCTGGATGACTCGGTCTCGTGGTCTGCCAGGCCCTCACCTCTGAATCCCACTCACTGCAGTGGTGTCCTGCTTGTTAGGACTGCACAACCCAGATCCATTGGAGCAGCTCAGGCGGTGGGGAGCATGCTGCACACTCAGACCTCAGCAGCGCATGTTCACACTGCTGTCACTGGACCAATGGCAGCCATGTTTATTTCCTGTTGCCCTTTTCTCACGTTGCATTCTGTCTTTTTATGGTTTTAGTTGTATGATTTCATTTTCTTCTTTCTTGGCATGTCACTTACGTTTGTGTTTTTACAGTAGTTTCCCCATAGTTTTCACTCTGTTACTTTATGGAAACAAAGTGTTAATACCTTCCTCATGCTTTTAAAATTGTTTCTTCATTTAACTTGCTGGTAAACACAACTACAGATAGACACACAAGCATAATGAACTAAGTTGTTGCTATTTTGGAGGAACGATTAGATCAGTTAAGAGTTAAAAATACTGGGCCCAGCACGGTGGCCTAGTAGCTAAAGTCCTCACCTTGAACATGACAGCATTCCATATGGGCACTGGTTCTAATCCCAGCAGCTCCAGTTCCCATCCAGCTCCCTGCTTGTGGCCTGGGAAAGCAGTCGAGGACGACACAAGGTTTTGGGATTCTGCACCCACGTGGGAGACCTGGAAGAAGCTCCTGGCTTCAGATCGGCACAGCACCAGCTGTTGCGGTCACTTGGGGAGTGAATCATCGGATGGAAGATCTTCCTCTTTGACTCTCCTCCTCTGGCTTTGCAGTAAAAATAAATTCATTTTTAAAAGTACTATTCACTTCTATACAATTGTTCTTCAGTTCCCTTTTTAAAAAAAGATATATATGAAAAGTGGATGACTATGATAAGTAGAGGTGCAGAGGGTGAGGCAGAGAGCTTTTGCACCCATAGCTTCACTCCCCACATGGTCACAAGAGCTTGAGCTAGGCCAGTCCAGAGCCACAAGTTTCTTCCAGCTGTCCTGTGGGTCATCTTCCTTTGCTTTCTCGCGCACATTAGCAGGTAGCTGAATCAGAAAGGGAATAGCTGGGACTAGAACCCACATCCACCTGGATGCCAGCGCTGCAGGTAGCAATCTTACGTGCTGTGCCACAACTCTGGCCCCAGTGCTGTCCATTTCTTTTCATACATCCGAGTTTCTGACTTCTGTCACTTCCTTTTCTCTGTAGAATGGCTTTTAAATTCGTCTCACAGTGGAGGACTCCCGGCAGCAAAACCCTCACTTATCGTTTGTCTCAGAATGTTCATTTCTCACTGTTACAGGGTCCTTCACTAGGCAGATTTCTAAGTTTTGGGGTTTTTATCTCAAAATTTTGAACACTTTACTATTACTATCTGCTTGCATGCTTTCTGGAAAGTTAGGACCAAAGATTAGAATTACACCTGAGGTTGCTGACTCTGTAGTTTGCTGTCTGAGGTTTGATATTCTGGTATTCTCGTTACGTGTTTATTACACATGTTACAGATGCCTTCCATTGTGTATTTTGTGTGTGTGCTGTCTCTTCCTGTCAGCAGTCCCTGGCTGCTGATGGATCTATGAACCTTCATTTCTGTTGGAGTGAGGAAGAGAGGCAGAGAGCTCTCCGTACCAGATCAGTCACCAGATGCCGGCCAGCGGGGGCCCAGAACTGAGCGGGGAGCTGGGGGCTTGACCTCCACCTCCCTTGTTGGTCGTGGAGACTTAACTGTGCAGGAACAGGAACCGGCGTTGGGAGGCGCACCAGGACTCCAGCCTGTCTCCTGCCGGAGGCTGTGGGCAGCCCAAGCCGTGTCCTGCTTGCCCGGCCAGCAGTTTACAATTGAAGCTGTTCCTGTCTCTTTCCAGGGCCTTGAAATGTTAAGACTACAGGTAGTTTATTTCTAGGCCATTTCTAAACTTGAAGTTGACCGTATCTGCACGTAGTGTTGCTGCTTTGTGGATGCCCCCTGTCGGAGGTTGCACGGTTCTCCTGTGTAGCTGTCACCGATGAGGCTCATGCTGACTCCTTGGTTCTTGGGCTGTGTGTCCGTGTTCTCAGTGACTAGTCTCTCTCTCTTTCTCTCCCCCCCACTCTTTTTTGTAATAACCTTTTGTGAGGCAGAAATGTGAAACTTTAAAAGTATTTTATTCCTTATTCGACCACCTTTAATTTATTCATCTATACTGGATATATGCAGTTCTCTTCTTTTCAATCTTTTTAAACCTTTATCTGTGTCTTGTCTTAGAAGGGGTAGACCCATCAGGCTACTTGAGATTCCTTCAATTCTTTGAGCTTTTTCATAGTTGTTTGCATGGGAAGATGTATCAGGTTCGTGGTGAATGTGTCCTTCGCAGCTCTGGGCTCACCAGGTTGTGTAGGGGTCCTGATTCCCTTGGTGAGGAGTGAATTTTTTTTTTTAATTTTATTAATTGTATTGCATTATGTGACACAGTGTTATGGGCACTGGGATTCCCCCCACCCCTCCCCGAACCCTCTCCCCATGGTGGATTTCTCCACCTTGTTGCATTACCACAGTTCAAATTCAGTTGTGGTTCTTTCATTGGAAATATTTACCAAGCATAAAGTCCAATGTCTTATTATCCTAGTGGGTTCAACGATTTCTTGGTGTGACCATCTCTGGTCTGAAGGTAAATCCAGCTAAGCATCATCCCAAACGATTAAAGGCCCCGAGAGGAGTGAATTTTAGAAGAAAAAGCTCAGGTTCCTGGTGTGTCCGTTCTTGTTGGGTGTCGCTGCTCATGTCCTGGCAGGAGACAGAATATAGCCATGTGTGTACGTGTGTGTGTGAGGATATTTCAAAAAGACTAGAAAAATATAGTTATAAGGCAAGTTTATTTTAATATATTAAAGATGTGTACGTTGTTTTTCTGTAATGCATTTTCCATGAACTGTTGAACTGCCTCCTATGTATAGCCTCAAAAGGTGTTTGCACCGGAATACTTACCTTTACAGTTTCATTTCCTGCAAACTTTCCGAAGTACCTGCATAAACATGTGCATGTATACATATATGTAATGCATTTTTTTTAAAAAGGTTTATTTTTATAGGAGGGGCAGATTGCTACATACTTACACACACACACATGCGTGCCCCACCTTTTGATCACTTAGGAAAAACCATTAGCTTTCCAGTCTCGTCATACTGACATGCTTTGGTTAAATTGGACTCTCTTGAGGCCGTACAGACGTGGAAGGCAGGAATGAAGGAGAGCGTGGTGATCCGGCCTCCGCCCATCTCTGCTGCCGCCTCTCTCAGTCCGGCCTCCCCCCTGTACACCTGTCAGCGCTTAAAACCACCAGTTGTTTTTTCTCGTGTTTGTGCACGTTGCTTGCTGTCTGTACTGCTTCTCTAGTCCCTTTTCGCTTACTTTTCTCTTAACCATATATCTGGCTCCATCTTCACTTCCTGGTACAGATTCAGTTGGTGATTCAATTGTGACTTCTTAAATGACATTTTAAAATGCTGTCCTCTTTCAGAGTGACAATGTATATACAGACAATAGATATCTTAAAAATAGATATCTTTGGAGGGTATGTAAGAAATTTGAAATTTTGATTAGAATCTTCACTGTTTCTGTGACAGTTTGCAAGCAAATTAGAAAAAGAATGTGGTCAGCTTGTAGAAATGTGGGGATGTGACAGACCGCAGCATGATGCTCGTTTTTCTCTGCACAGTGCCCCCCGGCCTGGCCAGGCTGGACCCCAGGGACATCGCGGTGGTGCTGAATGAGGAGGGCGGCTACCACCAGATCGGCCCCACCGAATACTGCACCGACTCCTTCGTTTTGTCCGTGACCATTGCTTTTGCCACCCAGCTGGAGCAGGTGAGGCTTCGGGTGAGGTGGACTCATGAGTTTCACACATTTTACGTGTAAATCTTGCCTAGCAATAAGCGATTGTGTTAATCTTTTTGTTTTAAAAGAATCATCCACAGACTCTAGTTGTACTCTGCGATACGGTGAGGGCTGACAGAGAGATTTTAAGAATTAGTTATTGGAGTAATATACTTCCTGGAGAAACTAGCAATGTTGAAATACTTTGCCTCAGAAAATACTTTGGCCTGCTCGGTCTGGGATTATATTTTACTAGTTGATGAACTAACAGAATAGCCAGTTACTGACAGATGTTGCTTGGGTTGTTAACGAAGGACATTAGTACCCTTAGCGCAGGAGCAACGTGAGTATTGGAAAGCTCATTTGGTCCTCTCACTCCAGGTCACATGGGGCTGGCTCTGTGGCTGCCGGCGTGGTCCCCTCACTGAGGGTCCCGGGGCTGGCTCTGTGGCTGCCGGCGTGGTCCCCTCACTGAGGGTCCCAGGGCTGGCTCTGTGGCTGCTGGCGTGGTCCTCTCACTGAGGGTCCTGGGGGCTGGCTCTGAGGCTGCTGGTGTGGTTTGCTGTGTGCAGTTGAGGAGACTGAGTGTGGGGGATTTACCACTAACTTCAGTGGTTGCAGCCTTGGTTTTGTCCAAGATGTTTCTTATCTGGAGGTTGCTGGCTGCATGCCTCTCCTGGTCAAAGCGTGGCAGTCCTGGCACACCAACAAGAGTCCCCAGGGTGCTTATGGAATAGGCTGCCTCTTCTCACTCGTGAAATTACCCGGCACTCCTTGGTTCTGCTCAAGGACTTTGTTTGGCTCTTGCCATTAAAGTGAATTAATATTTTTATTTAAAAAAAGATTTATTTTCACTACAAAATCAGATGCACAGAGAGGAGAGACAGAGAGGAAGATCTTCCATCCAATGATTCACTCCCCAAGTGACCACAATGGCCAGAACTGAGCCAATCTGGAGCCAGGAGCCTGGAGCCGGGAGCTTCTTCTGGATCTTCCATGTGGGTGCAGGGTCTCAAGGCTTTGGGCCGTCCTCGACTGCTTTCCCAGGCCACAAGCGGGGAGCTAGATGGGGAGCGGGGCCACTGGTATTAGAAGTGGCACCCATATGGGATCCTGGCATGTTCAAGGTGAGGACTTCAGCTGCTAGGCCACCTCAGCGGGCCCATGAATTAATATTTCTAAACATTGAGAACATGGGGGCTGGTGATGTGGCATAGCAGGCTCAGCCTGTAGCTATGGGCCCGGTATTCTCTGTGGCTGCTGGTTCATGTCTTGGCTTCTCCACTCCCAGTCCAGCTACTTGCTTAGAGCTTGGGAAAGCAGTGGAGGATGGCTCATGTCTTTTGGTCCCTGTACTCACTTGGGAGAACAGAGGGCGCTCTTGGCTCCTGCCTTTTGATTGGTCTAGCAGCTTTGCTTGGGAGTGAACGTGTAGTTGGAAGATCTTGCATGCTTTCTCTTTCCTTTTTGTAACGCTACCTTTAAAATAAAAAAAAATTTAAATTTTATTTATTTATTAAAAAAATTTATTTAGTTGTGAATAGAAGAGAGACAGAGATCTTCCAGTCTACTGGTTCACCTCCCAAATGGCCTGCAGCAGTGGAGCTGAGCAGATCCGGAGCCAGGAGTTTCTTCCGTGTCTCCAGTGCCGGTTCAAGGTGCCAGGGGTGGGGCCATTCTCCCCTGCTTTTCCGGATGATAGATAAGGAAGTGGAAAAGAAGTGGAGCAGCTGGGATGTGAACCAGCGCCGATATGGAATGCCAGTGCTGCAAAGCAGTGCATCAGCCCCAAAATAAACCTAAAAAAAAACCATAGAGAATATGGGTTTATGCCTCCAGCATGTTTGTTACCAGACTATCCTTTTTTTTTAAAGAGAAAATTTGCCGTATCAGCCATAGTCCCAAGAAAAATGGAATAACCTCATTTAAAATTTTTCAAGATTGATTAGGCAAATGTTTTTCTTAGGAAATGTCTACTACTTTATTTTATTTTGACTTTTTAAAACATTTGTTTTTGTTGTTAGCATTTTATGACAGTTCCATGGACCTTGGGATTTCCCCTACCTGTTTCCCAGACCACCCCCACCCCGGCCCGAATTCTCCCAAATAATTACAGCAGCACAGTTCCTCAAACAGTCCTAAGCCCATCGTTGCAGGCATGGGTAATGGCAGAGTCCAGCATCCAGTTGTCAAGATACATCCAACAGTTTGGATCCGGAAGTAGAGATGCACTCTGCACTGTATCCTCACATCTGGACATGTCAGTTTCCACTAAACAGTCGCTATAAACCTCCCTCCCCCCAAGTGAAAAGCCACAAAACAAAATCAACAGCAGGAAGAAAAATAGAAATTTACAATGCCATGAAGATAAACAACATGCCACTGGATATAATAGTCTCCATTACAGTTACTATACACGCCCTTAAATGAAAAGTCACAAAATCAACAACAGGAAGAAAAAATAGAAACTTACAATGCCATGAAGTTAAATATCATGGTACTGAATGAATGACTAATATGTCACTGAAGAATTCAAGAAAATGCTTCTGTATGATCTATGAGTCATTTAAAAACTTAATGAGAAAAAAAGTGTTTTGAAGAAATGAAACTAAAAGAAAAACCTCAAAATCCATGAGATAGTTTCCACGGATGTTTGTTGGTGAGATGTATGTCCTGTAGGCAACAAATAGATGGGCTTTGTGGTTCTAATCCAGTCTACTAATCCGCCATTTACCTTAGGGTTAATGTAAATAGGTGATAATTTGTTCCTGTCATTCAGCAGTGGGCTGTTCATTGATTTAATCTTCTGTTATTTTGCTGGGATGTTCTTTGCATTACCTTTGGTTTTGGTGGGTGCTATTCCTTTTCTCTCAAGAGAAGATTTGTAGGGCAGATTTGAAAGAGGTGTATCCTTTTAACTTTACTGTGAAAGAATTTTATTTCATTTTCAAAGACAAATGAATGCTTTGCTGGATATGTTATTCTGGGCCAACAATTTTTTTTCTTTTAGAATCTGGACTATGTCGCTCCTTTCTCTTCTGACCTGTAGAGTTTCTGCTGTGAGAGGTCAGCTGTGAATTTAACTGCCATTGCTCTATATGTCAGTTGATTTTTTTTCCCATTTGCATTTAAGGATCTTATCCTTATGTCCAATTGGAGAGAGCTTGACTATCTATCATGTGTGGTGGTGAAGATCACTTTTGGTCCACCCTGTTGGGAGTTCTGTGCCCCTTTTGCATGTTGGTTCCCAATTATTTCTCCAGATTAGGGAACTTTTCCTTTATTATTTCATTAAATACATTTATAAACCTAACTTCTCTTTCTGCATCTTTTGCAACTCCTATAACTCTTACATTTGGCCTTTTAATAGTGTCTGTTAATTCTTGAATACTTTTAGCTTGACCCAGCTCTGCTTCTAGCTTTTTGATTGTTTCCCCATTGAGACAGGAAATATCTTCTCATTTTGAGATTCTTTCTTCTGTCTCCTTCATTCTATTATTGAAACTTTCCACTGAATTTTTAATTTGCTCTATTGTGTCCTTCATTCCCAATAATTGGGCTTGAATTTCAGTGTTGTTCTTTCAATTCCTTGAACTCCTGTATGTACTTCTCATTGTTGATAAGAAGCTTTATAATGAGCTTTCTGTTCTGTAATCCCCATTTTCTCGATGTATTCCTCAGTTAACTCTGAGGTTGGCAAAGGTTTTTGTTCTTTTGCTGGGACGTTTTCAGTAATATTCATTGTGCCTTTGTCTCTTCTTTGGTTTTGGTCATTGTACTTCTGGTTAGCAGATTCTTCTCCTTAGGGCAGGTTTCCAAGCTGTGTCACACACAGGTCTGCAATTTGATTTTACTTTTTTGTGGTTGGCAGACAGCTCTTTGTTTGTAGTCACTTGTGCCGCTCCCTCCAGCAAGTTTCAGATCTGGGCTCTTAGGTTAAACTTCCACCATGGTCTCGTAGCCCCAGCTCCTGGTTCAGCACTCCACCTTTTATCCTGTGCTGTTGTTGACACCATTGTCTGTACAGGCTTTTTCCCGCTTCTGGTTTAAGCAGTTCCCAGGATTGGGGCAACACCAGATGTCCTGAACAGCTAGATTGCTGATGGTGCTGATCTTGCCGGAATCTGCCGGCCTATTTTGAGCAGGAAGATGCCAATGTCAGCATTATTTTCGACGTGGGACCAGTGTAATGCACTGAGCCTGGTGAGTTTGCTTGCAGCTCAGTGCATGTGCAGCTCACTGTGGTCCCTGCAGTCTAAAAGCCTTTGCCACATTGTACAAAATGTGCCTATGTGTCACTCATGGAGTTCTTGATCTGAGGACCGTTAGGTCTGGGGGCTACCCGGAACTATTTTGGGTGGAACCTATAGGATGCCAGGTTGTTGCAATTCCCTGAGCTAGAAATTAGTTCACTCCCAGCTTCGTGCATGTGCAGTCCTGTCCCCATAGCCTTTGCCTCCCTATGCAAGATGGCACCCAAATTGGCTCTACTGGGGACTGTGAAATCCACCTTGTTCCTGACCCACCTGTTTGGGATCTGCTTCTCTGTCTCTGGTGTTGCTCACACCAGCAGGACGGGCAGTTCTTTGTCTGGATTCACCTCCTGAGCTCCTGGTGAACTCGGGTTCCCACCTGATTGCTGGTGGCGTTCCAGCTGCCAGTGCAGTTTAGATTGCTATGCACTGAATGCCACTGGGGTACTTGGTTGCTGCAGCACCACACCATTGTGTCCACTGCTTTACTGTGTCCATCAGTCTCCAGGTACCCCTCTGCTGTTTTTCTGTCCTCTCCTATTTCCAGGAGTGTGCCGTCTCTGCTTCACCCTAGCTAATGTTTCTCCATCTGTTTAAGCATGTCCTCACCCTATTCCGCCATCTTGATTCTGTGGAAATTTCTACTTTAATACACTGGATTAATAACCACCACAGAAAAAACTCTTTGTCCTTGTGTCCTTGGAACGTTTACTTTTTGATAATCTTGTCCTGCCAATCATCATTGCAGGTGTGTCTTCCCCCAATGGGCTTCCTGCTTTGCTTCATCCACAGCTTCATAGGAAATTTCATTAAGCATTTTTAAATGTATTTTGCTAATTTTATTTATTTTTATCTGAATGGCAAAGCAACCGAGAAAGATCTGACATTTACTGGTTCATTCTCTAATTATTGCCATTGCCTCAGGTTGAAACCTGGGCCTCCTGAGGAACCATGAGGGTAGCCTCCGTGAGGGTGGCTGGGCCCCAAGTAGTTCAGTAGCACATCAGCGGAAAGCTGGAATTGGAGGCTGAACAAAAACCTACCCTACCACAGAATGCAGCTTCCCGATTGCTGGCTTTTGTTTTGGTTTTATATATTTATCTTGAAGGAATGAGGAACAGGTCTTCTATCTGCTGGCTCACTCCCCAGTTAGTTGTGGTGGCCATTGCTGGACCAGGCTGAAGCCAGGGTTGATAGGAGCCCAAGCACTGACCACCTGCTTCTGCTTGCCCAGGCCAGGAGCAGGGAGGTGGGCCGGAAGTGGAGCAGCCCTCCACCTAGTGTCAGGATGGGATGCTAGTGACATAGGCGGCGACTGGACCTGGTGAGCTTTAGTGACAGCCTGCCATTGGTGCCTGCTGCCTCTCCAAAGGCTTGTGCTCATCTTTTTATTCATTAACTGCATCAAAACGTCTTATCTGGACATCAGATAATTAGCAGTTCATTACAGTAGTATATTTAGAAAGCATTTTTAAGTAGCTGATATATTTTAAATATTTTTTGCTTCTCTAGGGAAGCATAATTAATATATTTTTTAAAGATTTATTTATTTTTATTGGAAAGGCAGATATATAGAGGAGGAGAGACAGAGAGAAAGATCTTCCATCCGATGATTCACTCCCTAAGTGACTGCAATGCCTGGAGCTGAGCCAATCCGAAGCCAGGAGCCAGGAGCTCTTCCAGGTCTCCCATGCAAGTGCAGGGTCCCAAGGCTTTGGGCCATCCTCGTCTGCTTTCCCAGGCCACAAGCAGGGAGCTGGATGGGAAGTGGGGCCACCGGGATTAGAACCAGTGCCCATATGGAATCCTGGCACGTGCAAGGCGAGGACTTTAACCACTACGCCATCACGCTGGACCCCATAATTAACATTTGTTAATCACATACTATATATTAAATTCTCTTTTACAAAGTAATTAGCACAGTGCTAATTACTTTGAAAATGCTGAATTCATTCATGCTGCAACTTTATAATTATTTACAGTTTAGAAATGTGGAAATAACAATTTTCAGAAGATGTTGTATCTTGTGACTCAGGTGCCCCTGACCACTTGGTTATCTGTCATGCTCTGGTCTCATGTGCTGTCAGGAAATTAGAATGAGACAGTTTGAGCTGGAGTCAGTCTTAATATTTTCCTGAGACTGATTCTAAGGCTCGAGTTGTCTCATTTAGATAGGGGTGAAATTACCATCTTTTCAAGCACCCAAAGGGAATGAAAATATTAGCCTGTGCTTTTCATGTAGCGTGTATGTGAGCCGTGACATTTCTGTGACAATGGTGTGTTGTGGGTAATTGGCCTGTTAAGTCCTTCACTGACACGCTTCCTGCTGAAATGCACTAACTGGAGTACTCAGTTTAGTTTTAGAAAGCAACAACCGACACACATAGTTGATGCGGGGTTGGCTGTTTATACGCAGGCTATCCCACTTCTGAGACTGTCCCAGGGAAGTGGAGTCTGCGTACGAGAAAGGGATCTGTCATCCCGTACTTACAACAGCGCAGTCTGCAATAACAAATGGAAGCATGTGAAGATGATAAGGCATGTATTTCTACTTCAGATTCAAACCTGGACTTCAATGAAAGTGTTAAATGTATCTTGACAGTGGGATGTGCCGATGTCCATACCTACAGTATCAAGATACACTTAAATAGCAGAAGGATGGACTTCTGGCTGTATCTGTAGGACTATATTATCGTAATAAAATAGGGGACATCAGTGGGGAAGGGAGGCGAGGGCAATCCCAGAGCCTTTGGAACTGTGTCATAAAATGAACAAACACAGGGGTTCCTGAACATGCTTGCCACAGGATCCAGCCGTGCTACTCCTGGCTGGGTAGCTAGAGCATGAGAGCAGGGATTCGGTCCCATGCTGTGCAGGAATGCCCACAGGTGCACGCTGCACTCACGAGCGGAGCGTGGTCTGTCGGTGCAGTCCACGACGTGTCATAAATACGCTGAGTGAACTCAGCTGGACAGAAGAGGCCTCACACCACACTCTATCATGATACATCCAGAGTAGGAAAAACAGAGCCCCAAAGCAGGTTTGTGGTCTCTGGGGTCTGAAACAGCGAGAAGGGGGGCGGAGTTGCTCAGTGGTTATGTTTCTGAGGAAAAGAACCAGGTGGTTTTTGCTTCTCACCTACTCAAAGGTGGCATGAGGGGTGGTCTGTAGCTTTCCGGTCAAGATACTGGGATGCAGTAAGCTATCTCCTGTTGATAGACATGAAATGTTCATGGTTGAGTAATGTTCTAATGGGCCTTGAGACCTAGAAGACAGGACCCGAGTCCCGTCCGTAGTCACTTGGAGCGCAAAGTAGCCCACAGCATCCTTCAGGAGCTGTGAATTCTTAGTGTCTCAGCTCTTACAGAGGAGCTAAACTCTCGCATGAAAAGCCAAGACTAGCTGTTACATTTTAAGCAGCCTGGATCAAGACTTCTTTTTAATCTTTGTAAAGCAAAGCCTCCCTGAAGGTGAAGTATGGGTAAGAGAAAAATACATAAAAATAAGGAAAACTCGATTTAAGGCATTTGTCTTGTTTCCTTCTAAAAAGAATTGTCACATATTTATAGATCCACTGGATGAATTTAAACACTAAAACAGCATAAATGTGTAAGGACAGCCTTTTTCAGTATCTTTGTGCTTTTTTCTAAAGTAACTCTTGAGAAAAACAGATTTGGTGGGAATTCACAAATTGTTTCCATGGTTTTAGGGCTTGAATCAAATAATTGGAAGTATTCCAGCAAATATTTTTGGAATGTAATAGACTCACCAACCATATTTAATGCTTTGGGAAGTAATACATTTTTGTTTTGTTGAACCTTCACTATTTAGTTAATTCCGTGTACCATGAAGCTTCCGGAAAGACAGCCGGAGTTTTTCTTTTACTATTCCCTACTGGGAAATGATGTTACAAATGAGCCCTTCAACGATCTCATCAACCCCAACTTCGAGCCAGAGCGAGCGTCTGTTCGTATCCGTAGCAGTGTAGAGATTCTCCGTGCTTACCTGAATCTTCAGTCTAAACTACAGGTAAGAATCGTGTCATTTTTTTAATTGGTGATGCATTTTCCAACATTAGTTTAGTGCTGCAGTTCTGTTATTTCGGTAAAGCAGGCTAGCTTTGACATGTGTGTTAACTTCTAAGGTATTTTTTAGACTCCTAGAGAAACATTACAATTACTTGGGAATTTCTAGAGCTGTTACCTTCTCACAGAGTTCTTGCCAAGAGTTGGAAGAATTGTCAGCCCTGAATATTAGAAAAAGTCTTTACCTGATGCCTGGAGCTAAAGGGCACAGTCAAGGGTTCAGTGTCGTCTCTGGAAATGGTTGATGTAGTTGTAGGAATAAGGTTAGCGTTTATTTACCTTATTACTCTTAGAAATTTACAAATTATACAGTTTCTAAAGTCTCAGTTGAGGTAGTTTGGTTTCTTTTTTTTTCCCACTCTGTCCCTAGTGAACCTGACCTCTTGAGAGGCAGTTGCTTTTGATGAGAGCGGCGCGGGGTGTGAAGGCCAGGCCTGGAGGCCTTCGTGGCCAGCAGTGTCCTTGATGGCAGTGCTGGTGCTGGGCGGGAGGTTAGGAGCGACATTAAGGGTTTTTAGTAGTACTGTATCTTTTTTTTTTTTTAAAGATTATTTATTTTCATTGGAAAGGCAGATATACAGAGAGGAGGAGAGACAGAGAGGAAGATCTTCCATCCAATGGTTCACTCCCCAGGTGGCCGCAACAGCTGAAGCTGAGAGAATCCAAAGCTAGCAGCCAGGAGCTCTTCTAGGTCTCCCACATGGGTGCAGGGTCCCAAGGCTTTGGGCTGTCCTTGACTGCTTTCCCAGGCCACAAGCAGGGAGCTGGATGGGAATCGGGGCTGCTGGGATTAGAACCAGCGCCCATATGGGATCCTGGCTTTTTCAAGGCGAGGACTTTAACTACTACGTTATCGCGCCAGGCCCCAGTAGTACTGTATCTTAAGGGTGGGTCTGTAAACCCAGGATTGCCAGGAAACAGAAGAATGGAAACTGAAATGCAGGAAAAATCAATTTGCATTTTTTTCTGTAACATGATCAAGTCTTACCAAAAAGATTGCTTTATTTGCTTTTGATGGAGAACATTAAGCCATGAAAATATATCCTCCGCAGCCCATCAAAATGATACAGCACATAGCATAAAGCTCTAGTTGCAGGTGGCTCTGAAGTCTGTGTCTCTTGTATAATGATTGCTTGTTATAGGAGTGGGAACTTTCCCAAGGCTAACTGTAATAGAGGAGAAGAATTATGTGACAGATGCCTGGAATTCATTTATATTGATCTTTTGGTTAATTATCAGTAATTACTAGCATATTCCACGCTGGAGCATTCTTATACCTTTTATTCTTAAACTCCTTGTTTTAGTTAAAAAGTCCGCAAAAGAAGAACAGAATGAAAGAAACACTGATTTGATCAGCAAGTAACTAAAATTAGATTATTTGAGCTTTTTGATCCAAATCAGAGTTGATCCACTGAATTTTCTTAAACTGTGCTAATGTTAAGGTGAAAATGGAAAGAATGTTTGAGGTATTTGCTTTCTGTTTATATTCATGCACTCTACAATATAATTTACATTAATTTACATATGGGAAATGTTTTAAAATTTGCTTGAAAGGCCAACCGACAGAGAGCCTGTATCTGTTGATTCATGCTGACCACAGATGCTTGCAACAGAAGGCAGGGCCAGGCTGAAGCTAGGAGCCTGGAATTGCATCTGGGCCGCCGTGCGGGTGGCGGAGAGCCAAGCACATGATCAGCCAGTCCGTCTCACATAGTGCTCACGAGCAGGAAGCTGGATCAGCAGGGAGGGCAGGACCTGATGCCAGGCACTGCGATACAGTGTGTATCTGACCCTCGTGCTGACCGTCTTGTTCCCCGGAGTGAAATACTAAAATGACCATAGCTTACTGAAGGAAGAAAAGAGAGTGGAGGCATGAGTGCACAGTGCTGGGAGAAGAAATTAAGGAGCTGTAGTGAGTTACTAGTAAAACTTCGGACGCTGTTACTAGGGTTGAAACTCCTGTTTGAGACCCTGCCGTGTGGTCTGTGCTGAGAAGCACTATGTAACCTCTGCAGGACTGACGAGTCTAAAGCCCTGTTCTGGTTTTCTCTCATACTAGATCCATCTGTGCTGTGGAGACCAGTCCCTGGGGAGCACGGAGGTTCCTTTAACGGGACTGCTGAAGAGAGGCAGTACAGACATCCACCAGCACCCAGTCACTGTCGAGGGCGCCTTTACTCTCGACCCTCCCAACCGAGCCAAGCAGAAGCTTGCACCTGTTCCCTTGGAGCTGGCCCCGACGGTGGGGGTGTCTGTGGCTCTGCAGAAAGAAGGTGTAGAGTGCCAGGCAAGTAGTGGCCCTCTGTCCCATCCCCTACTTCTCAGTGTCATGTGTGGCTGGTGACAAGGAGGCAGGGGAACTGCCTGGCCTGAGGAGATGTTGGCTCGTCAGGAGTGGCCTACGCTGTAATCCTTCCTTTCTAGAAACAGAAACCTTGTGAAAAATTGTGTGGCTTCCAATGTTGGCAGGGCTGAAGTAGCTTTGCCCAGAGCCTTCCCAGCCTCTAGGCGGTTATTTCGTGGAGCCCGCCCCTGCCCCTACCTCATAGTTGTCAACTGGCAGCCCAGGAGCTCCTGCTAAAGAGAGAACCTGCTTAAACCTAGTCTCTGGGAATCTACACCAGGGGTTTCTTCTTGCTGTGGTAACTGTCTTGGTTCCTTAGCCCCTGTATTCCTCATGTACTTCAGAGGGAGGTTCGCCATAGACCTGGTCATTTGAGTATGTTTTCTAATTGTGTCTGTTCCCAAAATGAAATATAATACCTTGTTCTTTCAAGAATTAATGTTTCTATACAGTGTGAATTAAAGTTAGGAAAACTGAAATGAGCGTCTTAAAGAAAAATACATGTGTATACATACAGAGAGCCATGCGCCACAGGTGGTGTAGGAAGGTCTGTCTGAGCCATTTTCAGACACCTGTGTGTGACATCTTAGCCAGCTCTTGCAGCCATTGTTCCTGCTTGCCTGTTAGGATGTGTTTTGATACTGGGCTCTGGAAATATTTCCTTCCTGTTCATCTTCCTTTTTCTGGTCCTAGATGCTATAAGGAAATTTGCAAATTATGAAGAAAAATAGACTAGGAATATCCCAACTGGGAAAGGAAACATTAAAAAAATAACAACGCCAAGTTTTGCTTAATGTGAAGGAAAGTTCTTTGCAAATTATGTTTTATTTAAAAATTGTTTTTAGTCTTTAATTGAATTAAAGACCCAGAATGGACATGAACTACAGCATTCCAAGAAGAGACTTTTAACCCCCATAGAGGAGAGGACAGATACTGGACCCAAATCACCCAGCAGGTCACCTGCTCCACCTCCCACCCAGTCACCTCCAACTAAAGATGATGCAACGGAAAGTGAAGTGGAAAGCTTACAATATGATAAAGACATCAAACCGAATCCAAAGGGTGAGACTTATTTTTTTCCAGGTCTTGTATAAATAATGGGCTCATAGCCATTTCAAAAATGGCTGTGAGATCTTCTGTTCGTTTTAGGTAAAAAATGTGCATTTTTTTAGAAGAGCCATTAATATGTGGAGTGTATTAAAAACACTTTAAATGCAATGCAGTTAGCCTTATGATTAAATTTTCTTAGGAGCATTTTTCCTGATATTTTCACACTAGAAAGAGCCTAATCAAAAGAACTAAAAGATTATGGTTGTTTCAGATAAGTTTTAAATTTTTAAAAAAATTATTAGACAAATGAAGTGATGGAGGGAAAAAGAGAGCTTTCATGTTCTGATGTATGCTGTGACAGACGGTAGTGGCTGGGTGGACCATGCCCGAGCCTGCAGCCCTTCAGGGCTTCCTTGAAGGTGGCAGGGGCCCAGGTAGTTAAGCCTTCTTTTGTTAACTTTCTGGGAATGAACCTTCTGGGAGTTGGATTGGAAATGGAGTGTCTAGGAGCCTGAGCAGCTGGGACTCACCTACATGGGATGCTTGCATTGCAGAACTGTGCCACAACACCTCCTCAGATGGATTTTTTAAAAAAAGATTTACTTAATTTATTTGAATGGCAAAATTTCTCTCTCTCCTCTCCTCTCTGTCTCTCTCACACACCCGTCCACCCACCCCTTACATTAGCCGGAGCTGTGCCATGCCAGAACCAGGAGCCTGGAGTTTCCCCGGGCCCTCCGATGGGGGTGCAGGGGCCCCAGCACTTGGCCGTTATCTGCTGCCTTCGCAGGAATGTTAGCACAGGTCTGGCTTGGAAGTAGAGCAGCCCGATCACTAACCAGGGCCTGTATGGGAAGCTGGTGCTGCCAGCTGCAGCTTAGCTGGCTGTACCACGATGCCAGCCCCTCAGATTTTTGAACTACTAAAGTCAGCTGTCTTGTGGTAATTTGAAATTTAGAGGAAAAAGCTTACAGAGTCAGTAATTGTCAGTAATTATTTTTTATCTTAATGATGAAATAAGAATGTATGTACTTCTGTTTTTATATAATTTTTCAATCACATTTGGTTCTATAGTTGTACTCTAAATAATTAGTGGCAGATTAAGTCTTGAGTAGCTGTACGACTTGGGCCACTGGCTGAAATTCCTGCTCCAAAACGAGTTACATACATCTTTTCAATTTGCTTTTTTCTGTGTCTAAAATAAGCATAGTGCTTTTTACAAAGGTGGTCTAGTTATATCTATACTGGATCTTAAACATAACCCTCTGAAAGCTACACTCCAGGTAGGCTGCAGTCGGAAGCTGTTGCATCAGTTCTGTATGCATGCATTCTAGGTCGTTCTTTATGCAGTCCTTGGGTGGGAATTACAGCTCACATAGTTTGGGGGCAAGTAGATTTTACAGTTATGTCTCACTTCGTAAGTTTATGGAACAACAGTTTCCTTGCTGCTTGAAGGTGAATGAGATGGCATTTTTAAATGATTTTAACAAATTAATAGAAACTTTAGCCAGTCGCATGTCCATTTTTGTTTGTTGTAGCCCTCAGTTCTGTGCCTGCGTCACTGGCCCAGCTGGTGGCCGCCGCCAATGCTTCAGAGACTGCTTCAGGACAGAAGATTGCTGTTCCCGCGACGGCCCATCATTTTTGCTTCTCAATAGACTTAAGAAGTGTCCATGACTTGGAAATCGGCTTTCCAATCAACTGTATATTAAGGTGTGATTTGATCTTGTTTCAAAGTAGTGTTTTCTGAGGAGAAATGCTTTTCCTCTGGGGATTTGCGCAAAGAAATGTCACCAAAGAAGTTAGTGATTGTTCAGTCATTAACATAGAAGAGGGTAAGGCTGAATTCTAGACTTTGAACTTAAACCTGAGCAGTCCTGGTGCTGTGAGAAATAATAAATTATTAATGCTGTTTGAAATATAGTGGTCCTTGAACTTTTTTTTCTAGTTTTTTTTTGGTTTGTTTTATTAATTGTATTGCATTATGTGACACAATGTTATGGGCACTGGGATTCCCCCCTCCCCGAACCCTCTCCCCATGGTGGATTCCTCCACCGTGTTGCATTAAGTGGTCCTTGAACTTTAAGGATGTTTGACAGGTGCTGAAGGTTAAAACAGAACCATGCAACATCTGATTTTTCTATAAAACTGTATTAGGATGAGAGGCTGTGTTGCTGAGGCCCACATTGTATAGCTGTGAGTCTGTGTCAGTCATTGAGGTGTAAGTGGGATGTGTCCAGTCTCTTCGATGTGGAATCAGTTTCATGGGTAGATTTCTACTGTTACATTTGTGACGTACTGCGCTTGGAATGTTTAGCGTCTCATAAATTTCTTGGAGTCAGCATTAGCATTTGACATGAAAATGTTGATTGAGTGACTGAAGTGAGAACAGCTTCATCTTCTCTTGGCATTTCTGTGAATTTTAGTAACTAGGACTGGACTGGGTGGAGGGGACCCTGTGTCCAGTGTGATCATGAATTCATTGGACATTCTGCCATCCACCTCATGTGAGATGCTGAGCATTATTCTACAATGTTTACATTTGAAAATTAAGGTCTGAAAAAGGATTCTTGGGTCTCATACACACAGCTTCAAATGTTTTTGTGACACTTGAAAATTACTTTCAGCAACGATTATTTCCTATTTTGTCGTTTTTTTTTTTTTTTCTTTCCAAAGAATGTGCTCTTGTAACTGAGATGTCTGTGCTGCTCCTTCGGGAGTCTGCTCTTGGGATAGCTTGAGAGGGTGCTGGCCGTGAGAGGGAATGTTAACACAGACTCACTTACGAAGCACTCTGACAGGTTTTGTATTCTTCCCCCGGGGACAATTATTAAGCACCTACAGTATGCTTAATACTAGGGGAACATGAGCCACAGGAGCAAAGAGCTCAGCCTAGTGAGAAAGAGAAGAAAGAGAAGAGTATTCCACCTGCTAAAGGGGAGCTCAGTCTAACGCTGTCCACGGAATCCGGACGGTCAGGATTGCCAATCCTGCCTTTGATTCATTTTAAAGCATTTTAAAAAATATATGGCACTTAGTTTTTTTTTTTTTTTTTCAGTTTGATACATTTTGTATTCTGTTTTGATATGAAATTGTACTTTGAAACTATGTAGAATATGTGAGGTAGTACTGCTATTTGAAAAGGTTAATATATAGGACTTTCCTTAGTCTTATTCCCCTCTTACTCCAGGGTTAAAAAACTCTGAAATGGCCTGATTTAAATAGATTTATAGTTCTACTGGAATTGAGGGATGCATAGCATTTTTTTGTAGGAAAAAGTTTTTGCAAGTGTGGTTACATTTTTAAGTTATGTAAACAGCAAGATGCAGGAATGAATTTTAAGTGATCATCGTCGTATCTTCACCTGTGGCTTTAAGTCCAAGCTGAAGTTCGCAGTTGTGAGGCCTTGTTCCACGTAGCCCGCTGCGGGTTTTGTGTAATGTCTCCCCGTCCGCGATTCCTCCGAGTTGCTTGCATCCCTCGGTGTTTGTTCAGAGATGCAAGACCGTAAATGTATTCTTGGCACTCACTGAGGGCAGTGTAACCCACACAAGATGGGAACACCACTGTGGGCTTAGACCCTAAGTCCAGCAGCCTTTTCCTGAGTGGTACCGAGGTAGCAGCTCCTCGTTGGTCCCCAGGCAAAGGTGGTGAGAGGATACATTCTCTCACAAATGGCAGCTCAGCCTCCCTCCCGTTGTTCTTTCTCAGAATTTTATTTGCTGATAACAATGCTGTTTTACTTGTGGGAAACAGTTGTGAATTGTATCGTTACACCTTGTTTTTCTTAAACTCTAGGTACTCCTACCCATTCTTTGGAAGTGCTGCTCCTATTATGACCAATCCTCCTGTAGAAGTTCGCAAGAACATGGAGGTTTTCCTTCCTCAGTCCTACTGTGCGTTTGATTTTGCCACGATGCCTCATCAGCTGCAGGACACCTTCCTACGGTAATGAGCACGCTGTGTGTATTCTTACTGAAAAGGGAAGTTCAGGCGGCTTGAAATTCACAAATATTTAGACGCTTCAGCATCAAAAAGCAGAATTATTTGCTTTTTTACTGTAATGTCTATGACATCGGTATACCTGCTAGTGGTTTCTGTTAAAGGGCTCTTTCCTCTTTGCTGGAAGCAGACACAGAACTTTGTGAACACATCATCTGTGGGTAATGAAGGAGCTTTAAAAAGGGGTCGTGCTCGCCTTTTCCTAATAGAATATTTCAAAAAATTTGGGGGAAATTGTAACAGCATAAATTTCAAGAACTTTTTGGAGACTATTTGCATGAATTTCAAAATTGCCTGTATGGAGAGAAGTCTTAAATCCATTTTCTGTGATCTGTGTCATGTCCCTTTGTCCATGTTTGAAAGTAACTAAGATTGCTTAGTTTTTATTAATGAGTCACCAAATAAATGTACTGTTTGTTAAACAATTTTTTCTTTTTAGTGCATGAACTAGTTAATCCTGTGAAATGAATTTGTGAAGAAAAATAAAACTTTGAAACGTCTTATTTCTTAGAGTATCAGTATTACAGTTGAACTTAATGAATTTTAAGGGGAAGAAAGAGGTGTAACTAAAAATTATTTAACCATTTGTGGAAATAATCTTGTTTAAAGGGTTTTCTGTTTAGAAAGAAGTGTAGAAAATGTGCCAGTATTTCAGGTTTGGTACTTGGAAAATTGAGCCTTTATTCCAACTGTTGCGTTGGATGATATTCCAGTTTCCAAAACCTTTTGGTTCCATTAAGGATGTTTCTGTCTCCTATAGGATTCCATTGCTGATTGAACTGTGGCACAAGGACAAAATGAGTAAAGATTTACTTCTGGGAATTGCAAGGATTCAGCTTTCTAATATCTTGGCTTCAGAAAAAACGCGCTTTTTGGGTTCTAATGGTGAACAGTGTTGGCGTCAGACTTACAGTGAAAGTGTGCCTGTTATAGCAGCACAAGGGTAATGCATTCTACAGAACTGGCCGTTGTGTGCGTGTGCATGTGTGCCTATGTGTGCATGTGTGCAGTGAATCTAGTTAGTTAGCCACAAACTTTGCCTTTGACCTGTTGAGGCTGCTTTCCAGTTTCCTCTAGCCTTCTGTTACCCATTTTAAATTACAAGTAAATCTATGCTCCTGGAGACTGGGATACATCCTCAGGCTCCCTGCAGGTCTCCTGTGCATGGGTGTCAGGAGCCCAAGTCCCCAGGCCACTTTCCACTACCTTCCTGGATGCTCCACTGGAAAGCTGGTTAGGAAACAGAGCAGCTGACACTTGAACTGCTACTCCCGGGCTGGTATTGCCAACAGCAGCTTATCCCACTGAACCACAGTACCAACCCAGAGTAACTTAACATCAACCAGCAAGTATATTAATACCACAAAGTTAAGTTGAATTTAACATTATGTTGCTTTCCGAAGTGTTATAAGAATGTAGAAGGAATTAAAGTTCAGTGAAAATTAAGAGATTTAAAAGTATTACTGAAATTGCTTCCCTTACTGCACCCCCTCCGGAGTGCTTCGGAAGACTTTTGCAAAGTTTGTATTTACTTAGAAGACAGGGAAATCGAGTTTCTTAAAAAATGATACTTGGTTAACTGAAAATTGGTGTTGCCATCACTCATTATTAAAAACTTGTTTCTAAAAAGTAGTATTATTTGTAATGATAAATAAAATATAATGACATCAGAAGGAGGGTATTTTTGATGCCATTTGTTGCAAATACTTTTATTTCCCTGTTTTTCAGACAAGATTTTAGGAAATTTCTCTAGGTAACAAGATATGCTGAGGAACTTGCCATGTTTTAACATTTTTGAGATTAGGAGAAAGCATAAAAGCGAAGAATTAGATTTGTGTGTGTTTTTAAAAAGTTTAATTTTGTGTTTTGGAAGGCAGATTTTACAGAGAGAGATCTTGCATTGCTTGTTCACTCCCCACGTGGCCACTGTGGATGGAGCTGAGCTGAAGCCAGGAGCTTCTTGGTCTTCCACATGAGTGTGGGGACCCAAGGATCTGAGCCATCCGCCGCTGCCTTTCCAGGCAGGGAGCTGTGGCAGAAGTAGACAGCTGGGATTTAGACCAGTACCCAAATGGGATACTGGCGCTGCAGATGGAGGATTAGGAGTTAGGCCACTACACTGGCCCCCGTGTGAGATCATTTAGTCCTTTTATTTAGGGCCTAACGCAATGGTTCAATTGGCTAATCCTCCCCTTGCATGCATTAATATCCTATATGGGCACCAGTTTGTGTCCCAGTTGCTCTACTTCCTGGTCCAGCTCCTTGCTAGATGGCATGAGAAAGCAGCAGAGGATGGCCCACCCTGCATCCCCATGGGAGACCTTGAAGAAGCTCCTGAATCCTAGCTTCAGGTTGGCTCAGCTGCAGCCCTTTTGGCCCTTTGGAGAGGTAGTCAGTGGATGGAAGATCTTTCTGTCTTTTCTCTAAATTGGCCTAGAAATAGTGATTTTATTTCAACGTCTTCTTTAGACAAAAATTTTTTTGGTTACCAAGATTTTTGTTTTTCTGTATTATTTTCTCTTCTGTTTATTAAATGATGTATACCACTTGTAAGTTCCATGACAGAGAAGTTCCTAGAAAAATAATACATAATTAGCCCACTTGTCAAAATTACCCTGAAGCAGTGTTCATATCTAAGAAAAGATTTGCCTACCAGTGTATTCCTTGCAGGTAAAAGACAAAATACAGTATTAAAGTATATAGAACCAAAACAGAATTTTTAAGTGTATTTTATAAGCAGTAAAAAGTCACATTTTAAAATTATAACATGAGGAGGTGGGATAAGTGCCAAACTGCGTGCGCTCACGCGTCTACATATGTAAATAAGAGGAGTAACCCAAGTACCAACAGTCATCAGCAGTAGGGCTTTGAGTAAGCCGCAGGTGTTGTTGCCAGTGTGGTAGACGGGTGTGCGTTCCAGGAGCTTGGTGATGGTCAGATGCCACGAAGCCAGAGGCCACTGCAGTTTCAGCATAATGGCCGGGCCAGAGAGCATCTCTTACTCCGTAGCACCCCTAAGCCCAACCCCAGTCCTACAGCTCTGCAGAATGAGAAGGACCAGGGTTCACCTGTGTTTCTGTGCGTTTTAAGCTCTGCCTGGCTTCCTTTGTAGGTCAAATAACAGGATATTAGAGCTGTCTTACACGACAACCCTGGAGGATTACGGATTGGTAAAAATGCGTGAGGTTTTCGTCTCTGATTCATCCCAGGTACGTGGAATGGCTGAGGGGTCTGCAGCACACAGTAGGGGGTGAGGTGCCGGGAGCGTGGCCTCTTTCTACCTTCTGCTTGCTGTTGCAGGGTCTCGCTGCCGTCTCCCAGAAGCCCTGCTCCCTGCCTGCAGCCCCCGCTCCTGCTGAGGGCCAGGTGGAGCCTCGCGACACCCTGGAGTACAAGGCAGCCCTGGAGCTGGAAATGTGGAAGGAGATGCAGGAAGACATTTTTGAAAATCAGGTTACTTTTAAAATGTTACTCCGAAGTTTTTTTAGCCTACTTAGTACATTTTCTTTCTTCATAGCAGGGCTGCTTTTGTGTGTTCTGCAATTTGATTGCATGTCAGCATTGCCTTACAAAGACTGACCTATGAGGCGATAGTTCTTTAAGAATAACTGATTGGCTTGGGCCCGGCACGGTGGCGCAGTGGTTAAGGTCCTCGCCTTGCACGCCTGGGATCCCATATGGGTGCCGGTTCTAATCCCGGCAGCTCCACTTCCCATCCAGCTCCCTGCCTATGGCCCAGGAAAGGCCCAAGGCTTTGGGACCCTGCACCCGCGTGGGAGACCCGGAAGAGGCTCCTGGCTTCGGGTCGGCATAGCATCCACCGTTGCACTCACTTGGGGAGTGAATCATCAGACGGAAGATATTCTCTCTGTCTCTCCTCTCTGTATACCCGCCTTTCCAATAAAAATAAAATAAATCTTTAAAAAAAATAATAAGAACTGATTGGCTGATACGTAATGTTGGTGTATTTTTCTCTTTGTGTAGCTAAAGCAGAAAGAACTGGCTCACATGCAAGCTCTTGCAGAGGAATGGAAGAAAAGAGACCGAGAAAGAGAATCACTAGTGAAGAAAAAGGTAAGAAGGCCAGGAGTGCTGGCGGCGTGTCTCACGTAGGCAGCAGGTGGACTCTGCGGAAGGAATGGCCAGCGGTGCCATGTGGCCGAGCGTGAGTCAGTACCTGCGTCAGGGCACGAGGGAACCTTTTCACTGAGGGCTTTTGTGCTTTTTTTGGGTCTTGAAGAATGCAAAGGAGCTGTCTTATTTAAGAAAATAAGTATTTTTTAAAAGAATACTCTAGAGAAAAACACTGCCTGTGTATGAATAAGAAAATAGCACGCTGACCTATGCATACATCCATTATAAACTGTAAGGTCCTATAAAGGTCCTCAGAAACCTCGAAGCTGGTAGAATGAAGTTGTAAAGTCAGTCACCACATGAGCTCCTGAAAGCACCAGGAAGTTAGATATTCCTTCACACCAAGGGACTCACTGAAGCAGCCCTGGCGGAGCTGAGACTTTCCGCAAGTCTCTGAGAGTCTGTTGTCAGTAGCTGGCGGTGTAATCACGGGTCCGCGTTCCCCACTCGCCACGCACTGCTCAGGGCGCTGCTGTTGCCCCCACCTCTGCTGGGCAGCACAGGTGGGCTGTGTGGGTCTCCAAGACAGCAAGCTCAGGGCTGCCCCCGTGTTCCCTTGGGATCCTGTCTTGCATTGGCTCTTGTCTAGTGCCCTACAAAAGCTGTTTGCGAATGCTGTTCAGTTCATGTTTGTGGAGAGGCAGTTTGTCTTCTATGACTGAAGTGGAAGTCCCCAGACTTCTGACATACAGCATTTGAGCATTTCTACCTTAATTCTCAAGCCATTAAAGCTTGAATAGCTAATTGCTAAGTTTCTAAAAAGTTAGAAAGGCAAGATTACCTGAAAGTCCATGTTCTTAAGGAATACTCAGTATTGGGGGCCCAGCAGCGTGGCCTAGTGGCTAAAGTCCTCGCCTTGAACGTGCCAGGATTCCATATGGGCACCAGTTTTAATGCTGGCAGCCCCATTTCCCATCTAGCTCCCTACTTGTGGCCTGGGAAAACAGTCGAGGATGGCCTTGGAATCCTGCACCTGCATAGGAGACCTGGAAGAAGTTCCTGGATCCTGGCTTCAGATTGGTGCAGCACCATCCGTTGCAGTCACTTGAGGAGTGAATCATTGGACAAAAGATATTCCTCTCAGTCTCTGTTCCTCTCTGTATATCTTACTTTCCAATTAAAAAAAATTTTTTTAAAGAGAAATACTCAGTATTAACTAGAATTTCAATAACTAGAAACCCTGAACATACTGAATTCATTGTGCTAGTTTTATTATATTTATAGTGTTCATAGACCTCAAGTGTTAGGTATTAATTGAGTTTACGGAATTTGGAAAATATCATTTCAGTATTTTGAATTTTTTATTTAACCTTTCAGGCAAGATGTGTTTATCTGTAAATTTTTATTTCTATATTGTTAAAGATTTTTCAGTACTGAGGTTTACAATATTAAATCATGAGCAAATTTGAAAAGCTTAATAAAATTTTGCCATAGTTGAACTCTGCATAGTCAGAAGTTGGTGAGGCAGAACAGAACAGCCCAACCTCATCAAGCAGTAGTCTTGGGTTTGTTCTCATTCGGTAATGATAGTGAGCTTGAAGTGCCCTGCTTGGTGTCAGTGTGTGCGGCTGCTTCGGGCGCCGCGTCCTGACCCGGTGACTCCCGGGCACCGAGGGAGTCCAGAACAACAAAACCAAAGCAGGAGGCTTCACTGATACATTTTGAACAACTAATTTGAATTAGTTGTAAAGGTAGATTTGAGTTGATGATTTTCTTATAAATTCACTTTAAGATGTGTGAACACCTTTATTTTATGGTGTCCTGTCTTGAAAAGAATATTGTGGAACCCAGTGCTGTAGCCTGGCGGCTGGGGTCCTTGCCTTGCACCTACCAGGATCCTATGTGAACGCCAGTTCTAATCCCGGCAGCCCTGTTTCCCATCCAGCTCCCCGCTTGTGGCCTGGGAAAGCAGTCCAAGATGGCCCAAAGCCTTGGGACCCTGCACCCGCGTGGGAGATCCAGAAAGGAGCTCTGGGCTCCTGGCTTTGGATCAACTCAGCTCTGGCCCTTATGGTCACTTGCAGAGTGAATCACTGGATCAAAGATCTTCCTCTCTGTCTCTCCTCTTCCTCTGTAAATCTGACTTTCCAATAAAAATAAATAAATCTTAAAAAAGAATATTATGGAACTAACAGATACTAACATATATGACTGGTTTCCAAAAATTTCACAAGCTACTGTAAAATCAGAAGTAAGAAAAATTGTTTATTTTCATGAAGATGGAATCTTTTTAAATGTCCTTCATATGAGGTTCTTTACTGTTTGTTTTTGTCATATAGAACTGAGTTCCTAAAAATGTTGTGTAACTCCTTTAAAACTTGGGAAGTTTATCTGATGGAGTGTGCCTCCTTGTCGCCTGTTGTGCTCTCTGGGCCAGAGAGCACGGTGTTTAACTCATGTCCCCGCCCGTCAGATAACTGCAGGCCACAGTTCTGTGCTCCAGAGGGGAGGACCTGGGCAGCGCTGCACAGGGGAGATGCTATCGGCCTGTTGGAAGATGAGCAGAGGGCCAGGTGGATGCAAATGGCATTCCATCAGGGACAGTCCCCTGGGCAAAGGCAGAGAAGTTTGCACTAGTGAGATGGCACCGTTTGGAGTGGAGGGGAGGCAGTGTGTGCTGCGTGGAGCGAGGCAGGAGGCAGTGCGTGCTGCATGGAGCGAGGCAGGAGGCAGTGCGTGCTGCGTGGAGCAAGGCAGGAGGCAGTGCATGCTGTGTGGAGCGAGGCAGGAGGCAGTGCGTGCTGCGTGGAGCAAGGCAGGAGGCAGTGCGTGCTGTGTGGAGCGAGGCAGGAGGCAGTGTGTGCTGTGTGGAGCGAGGCAGGAGGCAGTGCGTGCTGTGTGGAGCGAGGCAGGAGGCAGTGCGTGCTGCGTGGAGCGAGGCAGGAGGCAGTGTGTGCTGCGTGGAGCGAGGCAGGAGGCAGTGCGTGCTGCGTGGAGTGAGGTAGTTGGCAGTGCGTGCTGCGTGGAGCGAGGCAGTTGGCAGCGCGTGCTGTGTGGAGCGAGGCAGTTGACAGTGCCCGCTGCGTGGAGCGAGGCAGGAGGCAGTTGGCAGTGAGCATGAGCGGGCAGAGTGCTCCACTGCGAGGAGTGGAGGGCAGATCCTCAGGCCGGCCCCGCTGGGGTCCCCGAGAGAAGGCAGCTAGAATGCTCTGAGGCGTCGGTTACTGGGAGTGGATCCACTGTGTCCTGTGTGCAAGGGCAGTGTTAGTTCACATTGTAGACGCTGGAGAATATAGCCACTCAGTTCATCCTCTCTGTTCTGTTAGTTGATGATACTTTCTGGTTGAGAGACTGACGTTTGAGAAACTTGTCTGAAAAAGATTTTGACATAGCAGTGTAACTGGCATCTTAGAACAGTCATTGTGCTGGAACTTGAGTGGGTGGAATAGAGGAATGTGCGGCCAGCACTGGGGACGAGGGGAGCAGTACTGTGTGTAAAAGCAGAGAAGGTATAAATGTGGAGGAAGGGGGACGGGTGTCCGGCCAGGCCAGCAGCCTCGGCAGTTCTCAGAACCCCTAGAGGCGCTGGCCTGCAGCTCGCTGGCTCATCTTCCTGTGGGCTGAGTCCCAGGAGCGGCTGGGAAGTGACCTGGAGGCTTTCAGAGGGCTGCTGCAGCTTGGTGACGCTGCTTGCGGGCAGCTGGACTTTACCAAGGCCAGGGGCTCGGACGGCCGGGCAGAGGCCTCCCTGCCCGGGGACTGAGCGGCAGTGAGGACGCCGAGGCAAAAAGCACGCGGACTCCCACTGTGGAGGACCATGGCACCACGTCTGCTTTGACTGGTGGATAGAACTTGCCACATTGCTGTCTTCAGGCCCTGTTTCAGGGAGATGACACATTTTTGAATGTATGCATTTTGAATAGGGGGAGAAGGTAACTTTTCTGTTTTACTGTTTCACAGGTGGCTGAGTATAACATTCTGGAAGGAAAACTTCAGAAAACCCTAATTGAATTAGAGAAGCGAGAACAGCAGCTTGCCAGTGCTGAGTCAGAGGTAATTTGTTCTGCCTTTCACAAAACTCCGCGCGAGCTGCATGGGAAGAAGGGTGGGAATTGCAGCTCATATGTGCTGCTGCTGGTGGCTTACCACACAGGCTACAAGGCTGTTCCCTCATACATTTTTTTTTTAAGATTTATTTATTTATTGGAAAGTCAGATATACAGAGAGGAGGAGAGACAGAGAGGAACATCTTCCGCCCAATGATTCACTCCCCAGTGAGCGCAACGGCCGATGTTATGCCGACCCGAAGCCAGGAGCCTCTTCCGGGTCTCCCACACGGGTGCAGGGTCCCAAAGCTTTGGGCCGTCCTCCACTGCTTTCCCAGGCCACAAGCAGGGAGCTAGATGGGAAGTGGAGCTGCCAGGATTAGAACTGGCGCCCATATGGGATCCCGGGCGCGTTCAAGGTGAGGACTTCAGCCGCTAGGCCATGCCGCTGGGCCCCCCTCATACTTTTTAAAACTAAATGCTTTTTAAATTTTCCTTGCAAATCATGCTAATCTTCTCATGACATGGGCAGTGTAAGTTTGTTCCCATGGCAGAGGCTTCCTGCTGAGTGATTTGACAGTGATTCGAAAGTTTGTAATAGAAGTGAAGATGCTGGGCATGCTTGCTTATGTTTTTTGTTTTTTTTTTAAAGCAGCTTCACTGAGGTAGACGTTTTAAGTGTTAAGGCCTTTTCAACTGACTGTACAAATTATGTATGGATTTTATCTACGTTCATAGCTATTGATAATAGACTGTTGAACAGTGTAATGTGGCAATAACAGAGCACGAGCCTCTTTAAGGATTCGTTTACTTTAAGCTTCAAAGAGAAAAAAAGGAACTAGAGTCAGACCGTGAGCGGAACCGACAGGAGCTTCAGGACTGTATCCGGAGGGCCAGAGAAGACTGCGCTCATCAGGTGGAGCTCGAGAGGCTGAAAACCAAACAGCTGGACGAGGAGAAGCTCCGCCTTCAGCAGCAGGTCGGCAGGAGTCATCTTCTCACGCTTGACACTGAATAGCATTCTAGAAGCAATAGAAATGGTGTTTTAATAAGTGGTTTGCACTATTAATCATAGTTATTGCGCTCATCCAGATGTGCTTGAGATTGCGTCTGGCTGTAGTCGAAGCTGAGTGCGTCTCGGCACAATTGCCCTTGTAACCGTTTGTGTGGAACTGGACTGTTTCGGGTGACTTCTGATGCAGCTCCTGGCTGAGGAAGCGGCACTCACAAGGGGATTCTCTCTCCATGTCCTCAGTTCACAGGCATCTTTCAATATACTGCACTCTGTTTCGGGTCCTGATTTCTACATTATCACTTCCGGGAACCTTCAGCCACTCTTCTAGCAGACTTACCTGTTCTCCAGCCATTAAGTGTTGGACTTGCCAACGCTCAGGATGCAAGAGGATTTTGATCAGTGTTAAGTTGCTGGGTCATAGCTGTGTGCCTGGAGCCCAGTCCAGAAATGAGCACATAGTAGGACCACATAGATACACAACTGGAAAAAAAGGGACCAGGCTGTGAGAGATTAAGTTGATTGTAGTTGAGACATTCTTGATGAATTCTCTGTAGCCCTCCTCGTGTCATGGAGAGCGGCTGACAGCTCAGGGTCAGTTACAGCCACACTTAGTGGTAAACACTGATGTGACAGGTATTATGAGGGTCTCACTTAGAAAGCAGGCAGCTGTGAAGGGATTCACTAGTAACCTGCCATTTCTTGTGAGGAAGAGTCACCCTTCTAGAATAACAACTTATAACTTGTGTTAATCAATAGGGGAGCTCCTCAGAAGGATGTCCGTACCCTGCCCAGACTGGTATCTTTAGCTTACGGCTTTGTGGGGAAAATCAAGCAGGAAATACCTCTTCTTGAACCTCTCTTCCAAAATCTGGGAGAAATTTCCAAGATGCCCACATGCGTATGTTTCACAATTTTAAAAAAAAGACTAACAGATTTGAAAGGCAGAGTCAGAGGGAGAAACAGAGCCATTCCATTGCTGGCTCACTCCCCAACTGGCCTTGGTGGCTGGAGGCTGGCTGGGCCAAAGCCAGGAGCTGCTTGTGGGGCTCATAATGTGGCTGCAGAGGTCCAAGAACGTGGCCATCTTTTGCTGCTGTCTAGGTGTCTTGGAGCACCCGAGACGGGAACCAGTGCCCGTGTGGTTGGCTGGTCCCTCGGGTGGTGGCTCTACCTGCGCCCATGGCGCTAGGCTCACAATTCATATTTTATGTATTGAAAAACTGCTTAGACCTTTGCTTAAACAATTTTTAACGAGATACATCGAGGATCAGGACAGTAAAGCACACTTTGTGAGAGCTGGTGATGGCAAAGCATCTGTCCTCAGAATTGTGGACGCTGTAGCCAAAGGAAAGAGCTCAGCCTGACTTCATCGCTGTGGTCCACAGCCCAGTTGTAATCATAGCTCAGGGTAACGTCCCGAGGGGGGAAGAAGTTGCCACATGTTGTCCACTTTATTAGCTTTCGTTGAAAAAAGAAGTGTGAGGCAGGTAGTTTTTTGTTTTTATGGGAAAGGCAGATTTACAGAGAGGAGGAAATACAAAGATCTATCCAGTGGTTCATTCCCCAAATGGCTGCAACAGCCAGAGATGATTCCCTCTGAAGCCAGGAGCTTCTTGCTGGTCTCCCACACAGTTACAGGGTCCCAAGGCATTGGACTGCTCCATTCCCAGGGCATAGGCAGAGAGCTACATGGGAAGTGGAGCATCTGGAACACGAACTGGTGCTTGGAGGTGGAGCTTTAGCCAGTTGAGCCAATGCACCAGCCCCAAGGCAGATACTCCTAAAAGGTTCAACTACATCACTTGGGGGATGGTGCTGTGGTGTCGCTGCATTCCACATGGGCACTGGTTTGTGTCCTGGAAGTTCTACTTCTGACCCAGCTCTCTACTTATGGCCTGGGACAGCAGTGGAGGAGGGCCTAGGTCCTTAGGCCGCTGTCCCCACATGGGATGCCAAAAGAAGTTCTTTACTTTGTGACTGCTTGGGGAGCGAGCCAGTAGATGGAAAGTCTCTCTCCTCCTCTCTCTCTGACTTTCAAGTAAAAGTATTTTTAAAACTCATAAAGTGCTGAGTAATATCCTAGTTATAACTGTTTTGTTGCTGTAGTTCTGTTTTTTATGGCAGATGTTCTGCATGTATCTTTGGGCTCAGGTGTTTGGGCCGAAGTGCCAGTTAAGACACATTCCAGGAGTGGGTGTTTTGGCACAGCAGGTTAGGGAACAACTTAGAACAGTATAGATTCCAAACAGGAGCTGTGGTTTAAGTCCTCACTGGATCCAGGAAGGCATGAGAGGACGGCTTAAGTATGGTACTTAATCATGTCCGACATGTAAGATTTGAGAGTTACAAAGCAAGTATTAGCATTCCATAGCTGATGTTTACTTTGCCATGCAAAATAGAATGAAGACATCTGTATGATATTGGTGTTAAAAGAAATTTTGTATGGAAGTTCTGTATACTTCTAATTGATTTTGTGAAGGGGAGTCTGTACATTTATATTTTCTGTAATTTCTGACTTTTCTGTTGAAAACATGGTTTAAGATTAAGGAAAGCCTTGACATTGTTAAACTGAATTCAGTAATATACTTTATATCATTGTTTTAACATAGCTATGAATGTGTGTTTTTAAATACAGCTTAGTGATTCTGAAAACAAATACAAGATTTTGGAAAAAGAATTCCAACAGTTCAAGGAACAACAAAGCAACAAACCTGAGGTTCGTCTACAGTCTGAAATAAATCTTCTCAACTTGGAAAAGGTATGTGTGTCGGTTTGGGACAGTTTAACTAATCCTAGTGATGAGTTTATAAACTGTGTAAGTTAAATGCATGTGTGCAGTGTACTGACGGATCCTGTTGAGTTAGCTGCGGACAACAAAACTGGACTGCTGGTAGAAATAAAGAATGTAAAAACCTGTCACAGCCTAGAAAACCATTTGAGAACATGGGCAAGGAGGGGGCGGGAGGCGAGGCACGGCCTTGCCTGTCTCACAGTGGGCTTTCTGTGGGATGGCACTGCCACTCCCAGTGACTGGATTCCACTCGCTCCGATTTGAGCATCCTGCTGTGGAACTGAGTTTAGTGGCAGCTGCTGCGAATGCGTGCTCAGAGCAGCGGTGTTCAGGTGCCCGATGCAGGTAAGAGCGGCACTGTAGCTCCAGCTAGGAAGAATGGGCAGTGTTCCTCTTGGATTTCTTCTGCTTAGAAAACATTTCTACCGGGATTGCCCCCAGATAGCATCCAGGCATTCAGCACCTAGGCATTAAAAAATGTGAATGTGTTGTGTGCAACAGATGAGGAAGTTTGATCATATGTGATTTTGTTTAAGTATGATTATAAAGACATAACATAGACAAAAATGCAGGCAATACTATCAGAAAGTGACCTCCAGCAGTTTGGGCAGTTTTTTTACACCAACTCTTGCCTGTCCTTCCACTCGACCTTGTCTTGGTGATTGCCTTGCCCTTTCCCTGTTGTATATTCAGCCACCAGGGGGCAGTAGGATGAGTTGGGAAGATGCAGGGGGTAGTGTCTTTTTCCCTGTCTGCTTACAGAATCAGGTTAGTGCATGTTAATAAAAATGCAGAATTTTGACATAAAACATGACAGCAGTAACAGGAGCAACTTAACACAAAGTTGTAGAGGAAGGAGAGCCAGCCACAGATGAGAGCTAGAGTGTGGCAGTCACAGAAGACAGAGTACCTTAACAGTCTTTCATTTCAGAACTGTACCATGCAGCCTTGGGTTAGGTTGCTCTGAGAACTTCCAAACTGGGACTCAATCCCAGTCCAGAGTTAGATTGCATTCTGCCCAAGGTGCAGTCCGTGCTGAAGCTGCTTTCCTGTGATCTGTGAACCACACGGCACTCTATTCCTTGGAGTACTGAGTCAAATCTTAATAGTGTGAAATCATATTTGTACCACTTGGATTTTTTGTGTATTGTTGGAGCAGAAATTGAGGTAGAGCATGCCTGTGTGTGTTATGTTGGTACACGAGTCGCTAAGATCTTCAGTTGCCATGAGTCAGGTCCCTACAAAGTAGCCTCTCTGTTCCTAGGATGATGGCGAGTCTTGCATTGAATAAGACTCCTGTGAGCTCCAGTCTAGAGGAGTAAAGGATGTTACTTAGTGCTGAGCAACAGTAAAAGCAACAAAAGGATGGTGTTACGGTGACTGTGATGCTGCCAGTGGCATGGTGGGACAGGTGCCACTGTGAATATGACAGTTAAACAAGGCCTCAGTGTGGAGCCAGCAGCTGGACTGAGGCCTGCAGGAAGAGCGGTAGTTAGCTGTGGAAGGAGTTGGACATGTCCGCCCAGGGAGCACCTGCAGAGGCACTGAGGTGCGACAGTCTAGAAGGAAGGAGATGTCTGCCCAGGGAGCACCTGCAGAGGCACTGAGGAGCGGCAGTCTAGAAGGAAGGCGGTCAGGGTTTACATAATCGCAGTGGACAGTGACCCAGGTTCAATTCCTAGTTCTGTCACCAGGTGCATATATCAGTGTGGACAAGTTGGGGTCCTCCCATGCCTTTCAGACGAGGCTGATAAAGGCAGCAAAAGCCTTTTACAAGCACGTAGAAAATACAGGTATGAGCACAGTGGCTGTTTGTGCTGAAGGCCAAGGAGGCAGTGGCCCGCTCAGCTTAGGGGTGCTGGCCTCCGGATTGCTTTGCTAAGGGCCCCTCCAAAATCATGGAGACTGTGATGAAAAGAGCTTATTGTAGTCAAAGTGTTTACTAGAGTGGGAATTTTTTCCATGCTGTTTGAAACCCATGCACAGACGGCACCTTCCACGAGCTTGTGCACCAAAATTACTGTACTTTTTGGAGCATCCTCATTGTTAGAAATGGAAGCTGGACATGCTTAAAATATCTAAAAAAGTATAGTAATACTTTTTAAAGATTTGTTTATTTTTATTGGAAAGGCAGATACACACAGAGGAAAAGAGACAGAGAGGAAGATCTTCTTCCAGTGGTTCATTCCCCAAGTGGCCGCAACGGCTGGAGCTGAGCCAATCCGAAGCCAGGAGCCAGGAGCTTCTTCTGGGTCTCCCTCACGGGTGCAGGGTCCCAAGGCTTTGGGCCGTCCTCGACTGCTTTCCCAGGCCACAAGCAGGGAGCTGGATGGGAAGTGGAGCTGTCAGGATTAGAACTGGCGCCCTTATGGGATCCTGGCTTTTTCAAGGTGAGGGCTTTAACTACTGCACTGTTGTGCAGGGCCCCATAGTAATATTTTTAAAAAGCATTTTAAAACAGTATTTTAAAATAAAAGGTTCTCTATTTCCTAGAACAAAAAAAAATTCTGGCAAGAGTAATCTTTGCTATTTTTTAGGCGAAAGTTAAATTCCAATATCTGTGTTTGCATTTATTCTGTTGTGATTTATGCAACAGATATCCCATGGAAAAATCCACTGTATATTCATAAAGGAAAGAAAAACAGAAAAGCCAATATGTTAGTAGTACAAAAAAAATGGCTTCTTTTGACTTTCTGGACCCTTGGAGGTCCGGCTCTAGTGTGAGCTTTCCCAGTGCCCGCAACTGCAGTGTGTTCTCCATGTGACCTTTCTGGTGCAGTCCCAGTTGCCAGGCCATCATTAGGCCACATTCTTATCCCTACTATGTTTAACTGCCAAGTGTTAGGTATTTGGACAGTCTCTTCATTTCTCTTCCAGTAACTTACATGCAGCTAGACAGTCCCCACCCCTTTTGATGAAAGCAGGGAGTGAAGTGTCTGTGCTGGCAGTAGGAATGATGTGCCGAGGATATTTGAAGTATACGTTGGATAGCATTTCACCAGTTGTCACAGTAGCATTTAGGTAAAAGGCATCAAAGATTATTTTCATTGTACCTTGTGAAACTTTCAGAATACAAATACCCTAGTTTTAACAGAAGCATTATCTTGTTTATCCCTAAGTATGTCCTAGTTGACTGAGTAATATCCACCATAGAAAGAAGTTTGCTAAAGATTGACTTACCTGAGTGCTAGAAAGAGCTCACCCCTGCACTGGGGTTCACTTCTCTAAATGCTGTAGGGACCAGGGTTGGACCAGGCCAAAGCCAAAAGCTTTTTCTGGATCTCCAGTGGAGGGGCAGGGTCTACATACTGCAGCCTTATTTTCTGCTGCACTCTAGAGCAGAGTAGCAGGGAGCTGGATTGGAAGTGGGACAGCCAGGAATTGAACTTGTGCCCAAGTGGGATGCTGGCACTGCCGGTGAAGGCTTTACTTGCACTATCACAGGACCAGTTCCAGAAATAAATTCTAGGTGGTACATAAAATTCCTTCTTCTGAGTACACTTTTCTTAGAGGTAAAAATTATTCAACATAGGCCTGGCTAGTGGCCTAGCCTAGTGGCTAAAGCCCTCACCTTGCACACACCAGGATCCCATATGGGTGCTGGTTCATATCCTGGTGGCCCCACTTCCCATCCAGTTCCCTGCCTGTGGCCTGGGAAAGCAGTCGAGGATGGCCCAAGGCCTTGGGACCTGCACCATATGGAAAACCCAAAAGAAGCTCCTGGCTTCTAACTTTGGATCGGTGTAGCTCTGGCCATTGTGGCTGCTTAGGGAGTGAATTAACAGACTGAAAATATTTTTCTGTTTCTCCTTCTCTCTGTAAATGTGACTTTACAATAAAAATAAAACTTTTAGGAAGGAAATTGTTCAACATAATAAAAGTACAGTTAGTGTCTTGAGAATATGTAGACAGAATTTAAGAGGATATGCATAATTAAATTGTATTAAACTGAAATAGTTCTTCTAGCATAAGATGACAACAAAACTTTCCTGCTGTTGGCAGACTCTTTTGTAAATCTTCTTAGAACCAGAAGAGGGCAGAATTTTATTTCTCAGAAATAGTAGTAACAGAAGAGTGAGCACAGGAAAGAACCTAAGTGAAAAGTGTCTGAATAGTTGCGTCTGAAGAAAGGCCCTTTTCCCGTTCTGCTTACTCATTCTGTTCAGTGGAACACAAATGTGGGTATTCTTAGTCCTCGGTGAGATCTATCAAGATCCAGTGTAGTTATTCCTGTGACTTTTTCTACTATGTAATAAGTAACACCTTACGGTTTTCTTGTGCCTGTAGATGTGTTTAGCATTGGTTGAATATAACGGGATGGTATAGTATGGAAAGTGTACAATAAAGCAGGGCACAGAGGCTGAGAATATTGAAAACAAATCAAAATAATGTTGAGACTTTCAACAAGACTCAAATATGCCCACTCTTGGGATAAACAGAAAAAAATACAGCTTTACAGGATGTGACTTTTCAAGAGCTTGTAAAGTTCCTGTGACAGTGGCTCAGTACGTGGGTCATCACATACCAAGGAATGGAGTCAAGATGCTTCGCAGTGCGTGAGAGAAACCATTTCATGGCTACGACATAGTAGCTCTAAGATCATTCTGCCTAGAGTAAGACTTGAGCTGAGACTGGAGGTTTAGGTGAGCAGAGAATTAGCAGGTTTAGAAAGTAACTTGGGGGCCTGGCGCAGTGGCGCAAGTGGTTAAGGTCCTCGCCTTGCACGCCCGGGATCCCATATGGGCGCCGGTTCTAATCCCGGCAGCCCCGCTTCCCTTCCAGCTCCCTGCCTGTGGCCCGGGAAAGCAGTCGAGGACGGCCCAAGGCTTTGGGACCCTACACCGGCGTGGGAGACCCGGAAGAGGCTCCTGGCTTCGGATCGGCATAGCATCGACCGTTGCGCTCACTTGGGGAGTGAATCATCAGACGGAAGATCTTCCTCTCTGTCTCTCCTCTCTGTATATCCGCCTTTCCAATAAAAAAAATAATAAAAATAAATCTTTAAAAAAAAAAAGTAACTTGGGAAGGAGAGGAGAGCACGGGGGACACAGACGTGGTTGGAATAGAGAATTTTCTGTGTGTCGTCTACGGCCATACCACCCTGAACGCGCCTGATCTCGGAATAGAGAATTTTCTGTTGGAGTATGAAGAAAGGTTAAGGAGTAGGGTGGAAATTAGGAGGGGGTATTTAAAAGGTCATAGAAAATGTCAATTATGAAAAATTATGCATGGATTTCTAAAATTTCTTGCCTTAGTATACATTCCATGTTGGTACAAATTGCTGAAGTACCCTCTTATGGAGTGCCTTGAGTCTCACACTGAAAAGTTAAGAATAATACTGGAGGCAAATAATTTCTCCTGATAGTGCTTTGCAGGATCTGTCAGAGCAGATTCGGGGCTGGAAAGATGGAGATCCTCGTACAGAGCAGCCTGGGCATTAGGAATATGAAGGAGCAGATTCGGAAAGTCGGCTGGGGGAGGAAATGTGTGGTTTCTTAGGACTTGCAGGAGGGAATTGTAGTTGTGGGCCTATGAGGGCTGGGAACGAGGAAGGTGTATCTTTCATCTTCTTCGGCCTCTGGATGCCAGTGTGTCACTGAGCTGGCTTGTGGTGCATTGCTTCTGTACGGAACTCGTATACCCGGAGAAGTACAGGTCAAAGGTCAGAGATTCTCAGATGTAAGTGTGGTTACCCGGGAGTCTGAGTGCCCGGAAATGTCTGTCAAAAGTTTGGTTGTCTGCATTTTTCTGGAAATTGAGTACATATATTCATGCCTTCAGTGTCAGATTAAATCTTAAAAAAAAATTGGAGTTGGTGGTAGGATTGAGAAGCTTGCTATGTAGGTGTGTAAAGAATATAAAGATGTGTAACTGCATGCATTTTTAAATCACTAACAATGCATTTGTGAATTATTTTAATAATGGGCAAAGCTGTTCGAATGCAGCTCGTTTCCTAGTGGAGATCATCCACTGGATATAACTGACCATGGACACAGTTGCTCTTACAATTGACTACTCTCCCTGTATCCTACAGCTATAAAAAGATCTGTTCTTCTGAGGTATGGCCTCTTGTTAAATTATCAAGTAATATTTATAAATCTTTGGGGGATAAGTGGGAGAGCTCATCCCTGATAATCTCGGCAGTATTACTCGACTTAAGATGCTTGAGTCTGGTTGGAAAATGTCAACACGTGGAAATCCGCACACCAGGGATTTGTGAAGCAGAAGAGACCTGACTGCTGGAGGCCGTACATCACTGCTGCGCGTGCTGTGCTGTGCTGGGAGAGGAATTTGGCAGTGCTTCATTTTATTTCATAGTTTTCTGAAGTGTGAATTGTTGGGCAGTGTCTTCATTTTGTTTTTCTATGAAACATTAGAGTATGTGTATGTGGGAAAAATTAGACTTGATGTCAAAGAATTTGGGCCAGTTCAAAGAGTGCTTTATTATAGTTCAGATGATTACATTATCACTTAATAGTAAAACTGTCTGTTGGCTCCATGAGCCGGTTTGCTGCTTGGTTTGAAACACGGAGTGAGTACATTCCGAAGACAAGGCCAAGTTGGCTTCATTTCATGCACAACAGATTGCCTGCCGCAAGTATAAATAACCACGGTTTTAATTGAGTCACGTGTTTTTCTTTATGTATTTAAGAAATCAAAAGTAGAGTTAGATATGTGTTATTAAGGGAGCTTTCTTTTAATTCCTGGGTTTGTTTTAACATTCTTCAAATATTTCTTCATTCTTAACAAAGTACTTTCTGATAAAACATTTCTGTTTCCAGCATTACAAGGTTGTGCCAAAATGCGTCCATAAGACTAGGACTCCAAAAAGAGGGGGGTCTCTGAGCTTCAGAGTGCCAGCGCAACTGGAATGTTAACAGTTACAACTGCTTTTTGTAAGAAATAGTGTATTTTTTGCTCTGTGATCTTGATGTAATATACATGTTTAAATACATTTATAGGAACTGTCTGGAGGTTAAGACTAATTCAGTTCTCCTTAGTGTAGGCTGTTAGGCAATAAAAATAAGACCATATTTTAAACAAGAAAATGTTCATGTGCCATAATATTTATAGTACATTATATAACAGTTTTAGATGATGTCGTATGTTACACTATATAAACTCTTTTCTTAAGCCAGACTCTCTGTATATATTATCTTTCAGTGATTGTACACAGTGGTATAGTGTTTCACTTGATATGATTTTAATCACTGTTAGGTTGAACTTGAAAGAAAGTTGGAATCTGCGACTAAGTCTAAACTGCATTACAAGCAGCAGTGGGGACGGGCTTTGAAAGAACTTGCCAGACTTAAACAGGTATGTAGTTTATAGCTCGTTCTCTTTATGTCTTTTTCCCTTCTTTACAAGTGTGCGTGTTTGGCAGTATGTGCAGTGTGGAGGTGTTTGTCTCCGAAGCACCACAGCTATTCTAAGTGTTAAATAGAATAATCCCCTTTTTCATAATTACAAATGGAAACATCGGGGTCTTTGACCAGAAAAGGTCTGGAGTAGTTTGTGCAGCTTTCATTTATGAACAACCCCTCTTTTTTTCTTAGCCATTGAGAGGACTTTTGGGAGGAGGGGAAGATAGGATAGATGGATGGAAGCCAATACTTGGTTAAATGTAACAATATTCAAAGTGCTAATCTTAGGAAGATGGAGTTACTCAGTTAAGAAAATGAGTCATGGCAGAAACCTTCAAAGTTTGCAGACTGCTTTTATTGCTACTAGACAACAAGTGATAAGGATGAGTGTGGTTCTACTACATTTGTTTTGTTGTGAATGAAATTTTTTCTGCAAATACTATTAGACTTCCTGTGGCTTTATGTAGTAGGTGTTTACTCTGTTTGGTACAGTAGTTGACGTTGTAATGAACATTCCAGATGAAACCAGGTAGATTTCAAGAAGGTGCGCCCCCTATCCTAAGTGCTTGGGACTGCAACTGGAATTTCTTCACATTTTGGAATATTTATGTATGTATGATGAGATATCTTGGACAGCACACAAAAGTAAACATTTCCGGTGTGCCTGCAATTGGCTGTAACGTGTTCAGCAAAGCCAGGTGTGGAGTATGCCTGCTGCAGTGCCTTGTCAGCTTGTTGAGCAAGGAGGGCCTGAGTGCTGACAGGAGGCTACTGTAGACAGTGCCAAGGGCCCCTGCGTTTAGGATGTTATCCTAGGGGAAGCTGAGGCAGACATGCTGTTCTTTCAGGGAGCTTGTCATTTTTTAAAGAGGAAGAAACGACTCAAGCCGTCCCATGTACGGCCTCAGGGAAAAGCTGGAACCAAGCACTTAGGAGAGAAAAGTACGTTTATGTACTAGGACACTGGAAAGAAGTTTTAGAAGCAGAGGTATCTGAGAGGGACCTCGGCAGGTGAGGAGGTAGGATTGTAAGGTGTCCGCACCTAGGATGTGCTTGGTAAGTGGTGACTTGGCGAGGAAGAGAAGCCCTAGAGATGGCGCGCAGTCTCTACCAGTGCTAGCTCTGGTGATCGTGGCCGAGCGCCTGTGAGAAGGCAGGGTCAGCCCTGACCTTGAGCACTCTGCACTTTACAGAATAGTGGGGTGTGGCAGGGAGGTGGGGAGGATGGGGCTGGGCAAGAGGCACACTTGCACGGATAGTCGTTTTAATTAACGTATAGAAAAATGTGCAGAGAAGGGCCAGATGTTAAAGATATGCAAGTGATGACAGGTGAAGTTCCCGGACCTGAGGCCTTGGGTTTGAAGAAGGATCCATGGTGAATCTGCTCATCCTGTACTCAGACACATGGAGTGCTGCTTTGTGCCTCTGCAGAGTGAAGTCGGCAAGTATTAGCTAACACAGCTGTGCCTTGTTTTTCTATGTACAGAGCTGAGTGGAAATTCAAAGAGAAAATATCTGAAATGACACTGTAAGGTCTGACATTTTCAGAGACGTACAGGACGGTAGCGGCTCTGTGGAAGGAGTGTGAATGATAATCTTTATTATATTAGTGTCAGAACCAGTTGAGAAGAGTTGGTTTTTAAAACACAACACCGTTGCTGCTAGCCACTCCCAAGTCCTGCTGCTTTGTTAGTGTTCCGATGGAATGCTGAGCTCCTCTGCCGCCCAGGGAGATGCAGTATCAGGCTGCCCTGCCAGGCTCGCCCGCCTGCTAGCAGTGTCCCCGGCTGGTTTGGTTACCTTGTAGATCTTTCTGTTCCTAGTAAGAGGGTGATGGCAGAAGTTCCGATTCCCTCTGCTTCCTCAGTTACTGAAAAGGCAAAAGAAAATGCTGTTACATTAGTAGTTACACTCTCAAACTTCATGACAAAAAGTCTTGTCCTTGAAGTGCAAGGAGATTCGTTGCTGTGTCACTGTACCAGCTTTCTTTCTTCTCCCACAACTTCACCTTTTAGAAACAGCACTGTAATTACACAGTGTGGTCCCTGGGAGCCACTGATCTGCAGACCACGTGCAGGTGCAGCCCTTTGCTTGAAATGTGCTGATTTGGTGAGGTTGTTAATTTTAGCGTTTCCAAACAGTTAATGGGTGAGCTTTCATGTCACAATTTATCGTGAAATATCTTCATAAAAACATTTATTGTTTTTGATATAAAACTGGCATCATCTATTTGCTTTTGTGTAAGGATTGCTTGTGCAACTTCTTGTTTAAATTGGATTAGTACCATGTTAATTTTACATTGCCTCTGGTGAATAGCCATGGGGCCGTAATCTGTGCCAGTGATTTGTCACATCCAACCCTCTGGAGAACCATACAAAACATTTGTGCAGTACGGATTAGACGGCGAAAGCCATCTCTTAGATTGTTAATAAATGTTGATGACAAAACCCAGCTGGTAAAGCTTGGAAACAAGATCTAATGCTCAGTGCCCATTGCCAAAAGAATGTTTACACAGAGATTTCCATTACTCAAAGGTGACCTAGCAGAGTCGATTTGTGAATTAAAAAATCATAACCTTCTCACTGGTTAGAAAAAAATCTTCTATTCACAACTACCAGTTTGTCCTTCCACAGAGCAACTGTGTTTGGTACCTGGAGAGGCGTGAGAGCCGACAGCTATACAATAGGCTGCAGCATAAAATGTTAGAGAACAAAAGAAAACCTTCACATACTAGATAGATTTGGGGGTTTGGAACAAAGTTACAAGTTCTGTTAGACAATTCTGGAATAATTTCATTTTTCTTCCTTGGATACACTATGGAAATATTTAAGAAAACTGCTTTATTTCTTTGTGTTATAAACAACACTTGCATGTTTACTTAACCTGACATGTTAAATTATGTAAGCAAAATGAAGGCATTATTTTAAAAAATACATGCCTTATTGTGAGGAATTGTTACAGTAGAAAATGTCACATTTTCATCACGTCAGCTGCATTCTATCTGGGGGTACTTGTTCTCAGGACAGCAAAGAGAACTAAGATTTGAGGTGGGGCGTCGGTCCCTTAGCATATTTGTGCACAGTGTGTCTGTTTTAACTGAATGTATCAGCGTGCTTTCAAACAGACTTCAGTGCGGCTCACATCAGCACTATCTTGTCCAGCTTGGGCTTATCCACTCAGAGTAATTAATTTGATTAATTTACAAGTAATTTAGCCAAGGATGGGATGTAAATCTTTGTTTAAGAAAACAGTGGAGGTCCAAGTCTTGGTTAAAAACTGTGTCTTGAAACCATCCAGGCCCTCCTACTGACTTGTCAGCTCCGGGTTATTTTCAGAAAACTTTACTTGAGTTCCTTAGTTTAGTTGTAAGTTTTTTCCCACAGACTTAGATGGTATGTGTGAGTGGGAGAGTAAGTAGTGGCCACTTTTTAGCCGCTGTTTAGTCTAGTGTGTGTATGTTTACATCTGTTCTCTAGATTTATAGGCAGCCAAGGCAAAATAAAGATTATACTCACTTGATTGAGGAGCCTTTAACCCAGAGCACCTGGCAGTGGACAGGACTTCCTGCACAAGCTTCGACTTGGCGTGCCTATTATTAATGCTGTGTACTTGATTCAAAAGGCAGAGCAAGGAAAGGATTTTCCTGCATTTTGGAAAAAAAAAAGTCTTGCAAATGGATTTTTTCCTTGTCTTCAGCTTACAATCATTTTGCTCCTTGGAAACACTAAATTGTGACTGCCCTGTAACACATAAAATAAAAACAATAATAGTACTGCTCTTTAGCCAGGGATAATGTTCTGGTATAATCTTGTCCAGATAGCTTCCCTCACTTTAAGTTTTAGATTTCAAGCACGGGACATTTGTACTGTCCCTGCAGAGGCAGGGCTTCAGGGCTGTCTCCGGGCCTGCCCGTGCTGTAGTATTCACTATTCCTTGTCTGTTTCCAGTCTATCAGCTTGCTAAACTTTTTTTCTTCCTCTCCGGTGGACATGATTTTGTACATGGAAGAGTTTTCTCTAGTTTTCAGATCTCGTAACAGAACAGGGAAATGGCCGCAGCACTTTTCTAAGGTTGGTTGTACACATTTCGTTTGGTAGGTCGAAATAGAGGAGACAACTTAAGCCATAAAGTGGTTCTATCTACTTAAAACTTCAAGAACCTTTTCTACGTTTCTGGGCCACTTACCTTTATGCCGGTTTGTTCTTTAGTATGAATGCTATCAACACATAATCTAGACTTTGGACTCATCAGGGAATAGGAAAAATTTAAACATAGAATATTTGGTTAAAGTGAAAAAAAATAGATGGAAAGATTTAAATCCATACATATTATCATTTCCTTTTAAAGACAAATGAGATAAAATCAACTGTGTAAAAGAAAGGCAGCAGTAAGCCAACTGGGTGAGTGCCAGCAGCGTGCTGGAGCAAGGTAAGCTGCCAGTCGGGATTTCTGCATTTCAGTACTGGAGCACTGCTGCTCCACTTGCACACTGGCCCAAGTGGGAGACGCAGAGCTCCCGGCCGGTGAGGCTCGAAGGGAGAAAAGCGGCAGGTGGGAGATCTCCTGTTTCTCTGCCTTTCAAAGAAATGTTCATTTTTAAAGAAGCCTATTAAGTAAAGGGTACATGTTAAATATAAGGAAGGTTCTAGCACTTAATAAGGCAAGGTTGACTTTACTGTAGGAAGCAGTACTGTGCATAGTAATGTTCAAAGGCCTTACTTTTTATTGAAACAGTTAAATTCATTTTATCCTAATTGAGCAAACAAAATCAGAACAAAAAGTAGACTGATCCATCAGTCTAAAATACTTCACCAAGAACAGAACTCCAGCAGACATTTCCTGGTGCATATGGAGCTTGTCCCCAAGTTGCTCACAGTGATTAAAGCACAATGAGATTAAGCTAGAAATTAAAAGGTACTAATGCATGTCCTGTGCTTACATTTTAAAATATTTCATGCTGAAGAAAAGACAAAGTAGCGTTATCAGAGCATGGGATTTGGTAGAAGTCATCTTTAGAGGGAAGCATGCAACCACAAAACAGTAGAACGTGTAGCAGACCTTTTGAAGAAATCGGTGAAATGAGAATTTAAGGTAGGAAAAGCGAAATAAAAATGTATGGGAAAAAATAATAAGGAAAATTGTCCAAGTTAAGTTGCTTATTAAAGTTATCCTTCCTTTTGGCAGGAAAGTTCAAGGACAAATGAGGCAGTTTCACAAATTCCAAAGACCTTTAGAGAGGAGGGTGGTACAAGCAATGTGATTGAGGCACAACAACGAAGTGTAACACCACCCTCCCCTCTCTGGTTTAGACCAAAATAACCTGCATTAAAATTAAAGACTTTATTACAGACCAATTAAGGCCTAAAAGACAAGACAAAGGCAATGGGATATTTGCAATTTATGTAAACGATACTGGGATTATCCAGCATATCTAAATAATACTGTAAGTACTGCTGCCACAGATTGCAATGCCAACTTTTAAAATGCAGATACCCACATGCCATGAAGGAATGTGTTCCACTTCACAGCTCACTTCAGTAGCTTTGGGGAAAATGTAAGATTTTTCATGAAAGTACCACTGTATCCACCTGCCCAAGTGTTCACAAAGAAAAAGACATTATTGAGTGTTGGCAGGGACTGGGAGCAGTGGAATGCTCACATAGAACAAATTGGTAAAAGTTGAGTTACGCTGAAAGATTTCCAGACCCCCTGACCTAGCAGTTTGAATGCCCAATAGAACTACATGTTATAGTCTTCACTCAGCGTTCTTTATATCACATTACTGGAAACTGCCCAAGTGTCCCTCTGCAAGTTGAGTAAATTGTATGTTTCAGTGGAATGCTGTAGAACTTGAATGTTCAGTTACACACAATAATTCAAATGGGTCTTGGAAGTGATGGCCGTGAAAGAAGCCTGGACGCAGTGCTCACCGCACTGCTCCACAGCAGGCCCACAGCACCAGACCGGCCCCCAGGGAGGGGCTCCGAGGGACCCTGGAGAGCTGGCAGTGCTGTCTGCAGGTTGGCGTGCTTGTCCTTTGACAGGGTACACCTGTCATTGTGTAGGTCCTTGTAGTTTAGTAAATAATTCAGTTTAAAAGCAATGAATGATACATACCTCTTCAGCTAGCTCCCCCTCGCTGGGGTTCTGCCCCAAAGAGGAGCACCTGCAGAGCTGTGTGGAAAGGGGCAGGAGCCAGCGCTGAGGGAGACGGGAAGCTGCAGTGCGATGTCACAGTACAGCAGGATCTGTTAGGAAGCTGGGGGAAGTCAGACCAGCCTGAGCAGTGTTGCACAATGGCTCTTGAAAGATGTTAGCTTGACCTGGAGGAATCAAAGGTTTCTGTTAGAATCACGTCAGTTCTGTGTATATTTTTGCATGTGTTCACAGAAAAGAACTGAAGACCTTTTCTGAGGTGGCCAGCAGGTCCCGGGTGCTCTCATCCAGCTTTTCCTAGGAATCTGCAGGTGCCACTCTTTGCACTGCTTCCTGGCTTTCGGCTGTACAGTCAGCTAATGTGGGCCAGCAATGGATGCCATAAATGATTATGACCTATATAACCTTAATAAGAGACGAGCGACTCTAAGAAAATGTGCTCGTTGCCAGTTGATAGAATGAACAGTGCATGGCTGTGTCAGGACTTTCTAAAACAGGATCGTAACGACAGGTGAGGCTATGGAAACACTGCTCTGATGCGTCTGGCTTGTTTCTGTGCTCTAGAAGGAGCAGGAAAGTCAGATGGCTCGCCTGAAGAAACAGCAGGAAGAGCTGGAGCAGATGAGGCTGCGCTACCTGGCTGCCGAGGAGAAGGACACCGTTAGAACGGAGCAGCAGGAACTGTTGGATATAAGAAATGAACTGAACAGGTATAATGCAAGAGTTTTTCCTGAAAAGAAAGTTCTAATCCAATAATCTTAACAATTTTCCTGTATTATGGAGCTCTCAGTCACTTTTCTTCCCCAAGATTGTAGTTTTGTTTTCTTTTTAAACTTATTTGAAGGCAAAGTCACAGGGATCTAGCTTCTGCTGGTTTACTCCTGAAATGGCAGGGGGCATCTGCTGCTGCTTTCCCAGGCTCGTTTGTAGGGAGCTGGCTTGGAAGCGGAGCAACTGGGACTCGAACTGTCAGTCTCCTATGGAATGCCAGCATTATGAGCCTGCTTAGTTCACTGCATCACAGCACTAGTCCCTTAGGTAATCTTTGCAGAAACAATACAGGTCTTCAGAGAACATGACCAAGGTCAGTGTTGACAGAGCAGTTAAGCCACTGCTGCCAGGGCCTGCCGCCCACGTGAGAGCAGCTGCCCGAGTCTTTCCACGTGTGCAGTGGACTCAGACGGGCTCCTGGCTTCCGCCGGCCCCACTCCAGCTGCTCAGGTCCACGAGAGAGTAAAGCAGATGATGCAAGATCTGCTTTCTCCCAACTCATCCTTCTATTACACTGCGCCTTTCAAATAAATTTAAAAGTCTTTAAAAAAAAATTAGGACATACAAAATACACAATACTTACGCATTACAGTTTGTGGAATTTAGTATTGAGAGTAAGGAATTTCTGCTGCATTAATCAGTAACTCAGTCTTAAGTGACAATTCTCTAACTGTTCCATTTGACATGGACTTTGTCTGTGCACAGCTGGGAGACACTGAGCAAGACAGGCTGCACGTGGTGCTACTCCGTGCAGCTCCAGCATGTCTGCAGTTTTAAAGGCAATTTTTAAAAACTGAAAACAGTATAAAGTGTGAGTGGCTTAGCCAAATGAACACTTTCTCTCTGAAGATACTTTCATTTCACCATCGAGTCCTTTTGTTCTTAGACAGCACTGTTAAGAAAACAAAAACAGCATCTGTTGCTGCTAGAGCGGCATTTGTTCTTGACTTTGCAGGTTAAAACAAGAGCAAAAACAGTGCCAGGAGTCCAGGGAGATGGCAAGTGGGAGAGCGGACGGCCCCCCCGGCCCGGCGCTGGAGGAAGGGCTGGACGACTACCTGACGCGCCTCATCGAGGAGCGGGACACGCTGATGCGGACGGGCGTGTACAGCCACGAGGACCGCATCATCAGTGAGCTTGACCGGCAGATCCGGCAGGTGCTGGCCAGGAACACTGCGAGCACTTAGGGTTCTGTGGGGCCCGCCCGGCTGCAGCTGTCTGCAACACCTTCACCACGGCAGGGAGGCATGTGGAGATGCTCTAACATTCTTTTGTAAGTAAAATGTTGTATATCATTGTACAGTATTTATTTAATGCTACTTACCTTACGCTGCGTCTCCCACACTGGCTTTATTCCTAACGGCATTTTATACACTCGTTTTGTATGTTCGCTCACAGGTTACAAGCTGATGGCGGACTTTCCACCCAGCTTTTCGCTAAGTTGGTTCTAGGACAAATGACCACAGTAATTTCTAATTGTGTGATTTTTACACCAAAAGAATGTGTGCAACTTTCAAAGTGTTGTGTCCTTTTCCATACCTGCTGGATGAACACTAGCTGTAAATATACTCCTGCTGATTTACTCATTGCCAAAGCCTTACTTGGATAGCTGGTAGCATTTCCGGGTGACAAGCTTCGAAACAGAGCAGGGTCAGTGCAGGGAATTGTGGCCTGGGGTCACAAGCTAACATTCAAGTGCTCTGAAAGCAGACTTGAAATGTTCAGTAGATTCAACTTTTAAGAGCACAAAATAGCAGCCTGATAAGGTCTCCGGCCCAGGACTGCATAATGTATTTTTATATTATGGAAATTAGAGATTTTTTATTTTCCCAGCATTGACACATTAGTTGTCACTGCAAACCCATTACTATGGAGTGTGAAAACAGACACGGATTGGCTCCAGCTGGAGACAGTGACAACACCTCACCTCTCCTCCCCACTGAGTCCTGTCCGGGAGTCCGTGAGGTTAAGGTACCTCAGATCTGCAGTGCCAAGTCCATGCTGCCTGCACAGCGCCCCCTGCAGACAGCATTCCTCCTGCCCTGCCCGGCACGTGGTGTAACGGGAAACAGATTCCCCGGGTACTTCAAAACATTCATGGGAAAAAGCGATGGAAAGTTCACACACGTTTTCCATGAACTTTTTGAAGTATATTGTATACTGTACCAACAGTATGGAGCAATAACTTCCATTAAGCAAAATAGATTTGCTCATGAAATGAATTTTCTTGTATTTCCAACAAGCTATAGTATGTTTGGGGGTAAATTAAATCCCCTGTACACGTTTTTGTGTGTTTTTTCTTAAAGTATTACTCTCCTAAAAACCCAGCAGTAAATTGAAGAGAAAGGAATTACTAAGTAAGGGAATACTGAATCTGTTAATCATAGCAACAATTTGAAATGCTAATTATGGTTATTTTCTCTCCCTGACCTTTGTGCCACAGGAATGGGAGAGTTTTTTGTTTGGGGGCTTGCGGGGTGAAGGATTCCGAGTCCTTGCAGCTGCGCTGTCTGCTGCTGTGTCTGCGTTCTAACACTAGAGGGGGCCTCAGATTTAAAGAAACAAAAACGTAAAGAAATGGATGTGTGCTTTCTATAAAGTGATCTTTTGGCTATTGTAATTTAACAAATAAAAATCAGAATTACATACATCTTAGTGTTCCTGTATTCCTGTCTGCGTTTGCACAGTGGGAGGGTCACCGCAGCCTTCCTGCCTCACGTCACCACGTCTCTGTTGCTGTCACTTTGCTGTGGGTTACAGCCAGTCAGATGGAACATTCCTGGTGTGCATCTTCGGCAGCAGCCGCTCCATCTGCAAGTGGCAAAGAGTTTACGCTGACTCATTGTCCACGGGAGATAAATGAGCAGGTGGCTAAGAGAGGAACACACTTCCTAGTTACTACATGTAATGAGATGTTTCATCCAGTATTTTAAGGCAAAATAAAATCCACCTTTCCATCGCCATGCTTGTTATGCAGAAAGCCTCGCTTCCACAGCTGGGCAGGTGTGGCCTCTGCCGGAGGACTGCACGCTGTCCCCAGGCACGTCCAGGCTGAACCAGGACATTGGGAGCCAAGTTCCTGTTGTGCCAGGCACATGCGTGGCCGAGGGGTAGGTGGGCTCGCCTGACCACAGCATTTCCTCCTTGCCCTGCTGCCCTGCGCACTGTGTGGGCACCTTCGAGAATGGACAGCTTTGGCCCTGTGTGTGGTACACTTTCTGGACACTGTCTCTACCATTTTGTCTAGCCTGATTAAAAAAAAAAAAACAAGTGTGCAATTTATAGGCCATGAAATTGCCCATTTTAAAGTGCACATTACCACTACCTAAAACATTTTCATTGTCACAAAAACCCCTGACCAGTCAGTCCCCATCCTCTCCTCCCCAGCTCTGGAGCCAGCACCTCCCTCCCGGCCGGGTAACTGCCTTTTGAACACCTCAGAGGTGTGCAGCCCAGCATCATTCGTTAGAACTGAAAATAACTGGAAAAGCACGCAGTACAGGTTTCTGGCCAGTTCCATGAGTATTTTAAGACTATCAGATGTGTATATAAGATTTTATCAGGGTTTTAACTACTTGCTAATTTCGTGGAGAAATCAAGTGACACAGATCGCATTTGCTATTTCGCTTTCTTACCTGCAATGGTTGGAGGCAAAACATGCAGCAAGAACACAGCCTAGGTTTCCCAAGTCGTGTGAGCAACCTAGCTCCCCAAGCCCTCGAGGCTGCCAGATGAGCAGGGAGCTGGCATCCAGAGCTAAACCCGGGGTCAAGCCCAGCGACTCTGATGTACGGCAGGCTTAACAGGTACTCACAGGCCAGACCCAGTGCCCACCCCAAGTCTTACATGGGTGATAAGATTCAAAGAGCAGCAGAAGGCAACAGACACATCACAGCTTAGGAATGAGGCCTGAGGAAGCACTGTTCCAAACAGTCCAGATCCGATCATGTTCTGCTACCCTGGTGCTGGAAGTGGATGATCGGTACAAGCCCTGTGTGACGTCATTGGCATCATCAAAACCACATCACTACATATCTCACAAAGCAGGAATGACAGGACGCACAGTTATCCAGACCTGCAGGGCAGTGTGCACAGGACCAGTCAACCTCAGGATCGCCTTGTGGTCGCCTTGTGGTTCCTGCTGAGTGGATGCACTGCTTCCGGGTCTGTGAGGCTGGGCCTGGGACCCCTGCAGACCACCCTGCACAGGCGTCCACCCATGCCACTGTACGTCACCTCTGTACATCGTCCATGAGACGGAATCATCACTAGATTGCTTCAAGGCCTAATACAGAGTAGATTATAGATCCACACACGCCACAGGGAACAGTGGCAATGGGAAAAAGTCTGCCTTGTTCTCACACCTCTCTCTGTTTTTGCATATTGTGGATCCACAGTTGGTTGGATCCGGGAGGCAGAGGGCTAATGGCACATGCTTGAAGTTCCTGAGGAACTACCTCAAGAAAACTCCGTGCACTGTCAGCCTGTCACAGTTGGCCTAAAACCTGTGATGACTGTGGTGCTGGCGACACGGGAGGCCCTCCTCCACTGGCGGGCTCATGTCCTGTGTCCCCACTGCACTGGCCCTGTTGGAATTGATTCTTTTTCTTGCTCTTACTTTTAATTAAGTCTATCTACATTCACAGAAACAGAATGGACAATATTTGGTGAGTTTGTTCAATGGATGCAGTTTCTATTTTGTTCAATGAAAAAGTTCTGGATTAAGGGTCATGACAGTGGTGCCACAATGCTGATGTCATAAGGGGTCACCAGAAAATTCACAGAATATTTTAAGATCATGTCCACATTGCCACAACTTCTGGCATGATAACAAACATCTTTTTATTCCATTTTTTTCCATGAACTCTTGGAAGCACACTTGCATTTAGCACAACTACACACAGAAGGAACACAAGGTGGATTTGGCATTTAACCTAGTTGCCAACTCGCTCGTCTCTCTGTCGCAATGCCCCGGCTGTCAGCCCCACTCTGGCTCCTGACTCCAGCTTCCTGCTGGGATCCTGCCACATGGGAGTGATCTGTACCAGAATGGCCAACCCCCACTTTCAGCCCAGGTTACCTTGGTCACTGAGGAGCGACCAGAGAAACTTACTCTGTCTCTTCTAATGGTAAATTTTGTCACATATACTTTCTGGTTTTTTATGGACAGAACGTTCTTTCACACTCCATCTCATCTGTGAAGCTGATTTTCTCATACTGACTTTATGCAAGGGTCACCTGTCAGACCAACATAAGAGATGATCAAAGATGTTCTTTCTGTATGCCTGTAAGCGCCTTTGTTAGCTACCAAAACCTGCAGGGAGTGAAAATTGAAAGCTATTTCTAACTTTTGAGCTACGGACTGGAAAGGGTCTTCAAAAAAGCTACACCTTGGCACAAGCCGAAATGACCAGTGTTTTCCAACTGAACAATTGCAAAGAGCTCGGCTGCTTCCTGATGGCATGATATAACCTGTTTGCCATTGTTAGCATAGTCTCCACGGGAAAGCTGCTGCCCGCTGCTGTCTCCTCGTGTTTGCTTCTCTGGAGGTCGCCTTTGTGTTCTCATTACAAATGTTTTCACAGATGTAGGCGCCTCAGATATGATGTTGCTGCAGTGGAGACTCAAGACATTTAGCTTTCAAACTGAAGGGTGCAAATCTGCTTAGAAAGATGAATTTACAGATAAATAGTTTCCTGACTCCAGTATATTAACATAGGAGAATCCCTTGAGACTTAAAGATGAAGTCATTCTAAAAGTTTCCAACTGTATTAAACCTGCCATTCAGAAAGAAAGAACTAAAAAAAAAAAAAAAAATGGGGCCCATTTACAATTTCTTCTTGGAAATACTTCACCCACAAATTCATAGACAAATATTTTCTCTTTTCCAAATACCTTGTCTACTAGTTGTACAGCACAGCCTTGTCTTGGTTAGCACGCTAGCTAGTCAGAAGCACCCAGATGCACCGCGTGAGATCTGCCCCACAGACCGCACTCATAGCTGGCTTACGCTAAGCAAATATTGCTGCAAAAACTGGACTCTGACATCACTGTACATTTTGGTGGCTGTCAACCCAATAGTGACAGCCTGTGCCTCGAGAGCTGTGTTCCATCAGTCAACTCCACAAGCAGCTCTCCACTCGAGATACAGTGAGCAGCTGGAAGAACCTTTGTGAAGCACGGACTGCGTTTCTGTGGTGACTGAGCAGTCCACAAAGAAATCCATTGCCCATGGGGCCCGGCAGCATGGCCTAGCAGCTGAAGTCCTCATCTTGAACGTGCCAGGATCCCATATGGGTGCTGGTCCTAATCCCGGCAGCTCCACTTCCCATCCAGTTCCCTGCTTGTGGCCTGGGAAAGCAGTGGAGGATGGCCCAAGGCTTTGGGACCCTGCACCCATGTGGGAGACCCAGAAGAGGCTCCTGGATCCTGGTTTTGGATCGGCATAGCATCGGCCATCATGGTCATTTGGGGATTAAATCTTCGGACAGATCTTTCTCACTGTCTGTCCTCCTCTCTGTATATATCACTTTCCAATAAATAAGTAAATCTTTTTAAAACAGGCCATCTTGCCGATCAGGTAAGAAAAAGCAATTCCCCAACCCAACATCACCACCTCATCTTCCTCAGCCTGATGAAGGACATCTATGAGAACCCACAGCTGACGTCACACTCACTGGTTCAGTGAGACAGTACCTTCCCCCAAGAGCAGCAACAAGCAAGAATAACTGCTCTCACCCCATCGCTATTTTAGCAGAAGCTCACCATTGAAACAGGCAGAAAACCACTAAAGGCACCAGAATGTAAACGTCACAGTAAAAGTATTTTCTTCAAAGATCACATCAGTGACTGTCTGAAACATCCTTTGGTACGTATGAAAAGTGGTGACAATGACTAAGTGAATTTTGCAAGTTACAGGATCAATGTGGAAAATATACAAAAATTAGCCGCCTTCCTACATATGAGCAACGAACAATCCCCGTCATGTGAAAAAAAACACCGGACTTAAGCAGTGGTAGTGACAGAATATGAAAGGAGGACACACTCAAAGCTACACAACCCTGCTGGCTGAAGTTCACTAGAGACTTACCATGTCCCATGTCACAGGAGTTCATACTGATGGTGTCATTCTCTTTAAATTGATCTACAGATTCAGTATTGTTCCCAGCAAAAATATCAGCATGATTGCTTTAAGAAACTGAAAGCTTGAATGTAACAAATGTATCAACATGCAAAGCCCAGAGCAACTATCAAAAATAAGGGAGGAAAACAAACTCCAAAAGGACCAAGGAGAGGTGCTTGGGAGCCAAAACTGGAACAGGAACCCAAACGACAGACAGCTAGCTGTATTTCCGAATGAAAGTCGGAGGGAGGGGATTAGAACCCAGCAAGGGAACAGGGGCACCTACAGGACACAGAACTGGGATGACAGCATAGACACACAAACGCACAGCAAATGCCAGCCAGGCCCCAGGCTGGAGAGAACCCCTACTGGAGGCAAGGGCAAAGAGGGGCATCCTAGCACCCAGTGCTGGGTGCCACCAATCCCAGCTGCAAGATGGGCCATGGTCAGCATGGACGTGCACCAGCTATGCAGAGGAATTGTCTTGTAGCTGAACAGTGACTTGCGGTGTCTGCCCCATGCTCAGC